CCACCCGGATGTAGTCTGATTTCCTGATACTTTCTGCTGTGTCTGTGATTTGGGTTGGGTGAGAAGTGAGGGGTCGCTTAAGCATACATAATCTTAGACCGGAAGAAGCCTGCAGTCAGGAAGGAGGCGTGTGGAGGGAGCCCACGAAGGTAGCCAGCTGGGAGGTGCCTGCAGATCTCAGCCTTGGCTTGCAGACTGACCTGTGGATCGCAGGAAATTAGGTAAAATAGGGTTTCACGTTGGCGTCCCGGCAGCTGTGTTGAGTAAAAAGCTTGAATGACGAACCTGAGGGTGTGCATCCCGTGGGCCTGCGGAATGGAGAAAAGTGAACGCTTGGTGGGGGTGGAAGGAATGGCTGCTGGGGCTCTGGTTCCGTGGAGAAGGAGCAGAGTGTTCCTTTGATCTGGGAAAAGAATGACTTGGTAGTTTTTCATGATGTGCTCCGGCTTCTCTGCTTGCGTCCTCCACAGGGTAATGAGAGCCGTTGTACTGTCTGCTCCACAGATGGCGCGAGCCTTGCTGAGGTCCTTGGCTCCTGCAGCCGCGTGCCCCTGTTCCCTTACTGAGGATCGCGCTTGTATTAGTTGGATGGTGAATTCTGGCCACTGCAGTAGTCTCTGAAATCAGAATGTGTGTTGTGCCTATATGAAGGCCCACATTTGAGACTTCTTGCTGGATTAGATGCAACAACTGAGGTCACTGTGCTGTCCCAGGGTTATCCATTTAATGTCAGGAGATTCAGCGTTCTTGTTGTCAAGGGACAAAAGCTGTATTCTTCCTTTCAGTTTCATAGAGTAATAACAATGAACACTCCCAAGCAGCGCAAGGGAGAGAACTCCCTTCTACGGGGCAAGCAAATTCTGCTGACAGTTAGGCAAGCTGATGCTGGGCTTTCACATAGAGATTGGAAACCCTAACCCTCTATCTGCAGGTTAGGGATTTTAGAAAGACTCCATTTTTATTTTATCGTTTTACTTACCAGATTTATCTTTGGGAAAGAAGACATGAAATCCACAGGAGTGCTTAGATACCATGACAGACTATCATTTCACAGAATGGTGTGCCTTGTTTTAGTTTATTGGGGATATGTATAATTTCATTTTATTAGTATTATTTTTTGATATTTAAATGTGTAGGAGATGTATAATTTTAAAGGTACATATTTAAGTAGTTGGTCATCTATGCTAGGTTGCTAGTTGAGAAAAAGACCTGTGTTTTGGTCTTTAGATGAAATAACTGTTGACAGGCATTTGAATTTTTCCTGTGCATACTTACATGTTTTATATATACATATATTTTAAGAGTTGTTATACATATTAAGGACAGGGTTCTGTGTCAGTAAATATAGATGTGTATTATCTTAATGGATTCAGAGTATTTCATTATAGGCATACCATAATTTGCTTAGCTAAATTTTTATTAATACATTTAAAATTATTTCTTTTTTGTAGTAATAATGCAGCAATAAATGTTTATGTACTTTCACGTGTGTACAGTTGTCTAATTCTTTCAGACAAGTTACTAGGGATAGGGTCGGTGGGTTGGAGAGAATAGAATGTTTGACTTTTAAAAACGATCCTCTTAGATCAAGAAAAAGCTAAAACAGTTATAAGCGTTTAAAAGGCCCATAGGAGTGATATTTTGATGTTTCTCTTGTTTCTGTGCTTTCTTTTGTTTTTAACTCTGCATGGTTGTGTAATGGTATTCTTTTTCCCTTTTGTAGTAAGCTGTGCTAGAACAAAAATGCAATGAAAGAAACACTGGATGAATGAAAAGCCCTGCTTTGCAACCCCTCAGCATGGCAGGCCTGCAGCTCATGACCCCTGCTTCCTCACCAATGGGTCCTTTCTTTGGACTGCCATGGCAACAAGAAGCAATTCATGATAACATTTATACGCCAAGAAAATATCAGGTACTAATGAGAACACTAATACTGGAGCATTTCACTAAAATAGAATAAATTAGCATTTAGTTGACACAACTTAATAAAACTCATTTACCTGTTCAAGCTTTCCTCTTCTGATTAATTTTCTCATTCCAGATACTTTGTTCTTAATAATCCTTTTCTAACATCTGCTGAGTAATTGGGTTGATAGTTTTATTTGTGAAGTTCCTTATTTTCTCCCCTCTGAAAACCTCATCCATTTGGATGTGTCTCTCCTCATGAGCTAGGTAGGAATTGAGATTGAACAACTATGAACTGGCAGAACCCCGATTACAATAAATTTAGTCATTCATCTAATCCTAGAGAAGTATTCTGTCCGTGCAAAAATCTTAAGGAAATTGTAAATGCATTTCAACATATGCTTATATTACAGCTCTGTATAACAGGCATTTTAATGCGTCTGGTTATTATTCATATACACAGATGCAGGAAGTATGCTTTTTGGCAAACTTATTGGAGGAAGATATTAGAAAACAGTGGAATTTCCTGAATTAAAAGAAAATCCCATTTTCTAAATTTTGTACTTAGATAAGAAGTGTGTAATCTTTTCCCACTGTATTTCCAGGTTGAACTGCTTGAAGCAGCTCTGGATCGGAATACCATAGTCTGTTTGAACACTGGCTCAGGGAAGACGTTCATTGCAGTGCTACTCACTAAAGAGCTGTCCTATCAGATCAGGGGAGACTTCAGCAGACATGGAAAAAGGACTGTGTTCTTGGTCAACTCTGGTAATAAAAAAGTACTTTTCACATTGCATAGAGGAAATTGGATGAGATTAAGTTATTGGTTAAATTATTGAAAATGTAGAGAGTTTGACAAGTAATGTACTTGTTGAAATTCTGATAGCAGAGCTGCTTATTTCTTAACTTTGTAGTATTTCTCTTAAATATTAGCTGTTTTATTCCATAGGTGTAAAACTTTAGCTTTTCTTTTAGATGTAATTGCATTTAATCCTGATTCTGCATTTCTTTTGAATGGATTACTATTGTAACATGATCTAAGTTGTGTTAGTTATTTTGTTTTGATGTTTTAGCTTCACAAAACATGCCCAAAGGTGCTTCATTATGACATAGGTAACTTTTTGATTTATGATTTTGCTCTATCAGTTGTAGAAAGAAAGTTAAATAGTTGCTTCTTAATAGTTAAAAATACTGGGTTTTATGTGTTTGGGATTATATATTAAAATAAAAGTATAAAATGTGAACCTGAGCTGCTAGGGCACTAATACAACCGTGTCATTCCTCTCCTTTTTTAAATATGTTCTCAGCATGAGATGTTCTTATTGGTGTGAATATGTGTTAGTCTGTGTTGTTTCTTGGTGGAACGATCTGATTTTATTGACTACAACAGGAGGGGTGGATCTGGAGTAGTTCTCATTCTAGCCTAAAAGCTACATTTTTAGGTTGGGGAAAATCCGCTCTAAAGCATGGAGGTGATTCAGGGTCTCTGAAGTGAGTGACGGTCAGGGTGGTGAGTCTAATAAGTGCACCTTGGAAATCTCTAAAATGCAGATGGTTCGGTATAATACAGAATAAGTAGTGGTTCTTTAACTGTCTGTATCACTGTAGCCCAGAGAACCAACTAGAGCCAACTTGTCCTATTTACATGGAGTTTCTGTTTGTAACCAGCAAACCAGGTTGCTCAGCAAGTGTCGGCTGTCAGGACTCATTCAGACCTCAAGGTTGGGGAATACGCACACCTAGAAGTACTTGCATCTTGGACTAAAGAGAAATGGAACCAGGAGTTTACTAAGCACCAGGTAAGCCTGGCAGCGACACTTCACTCTGTAAATCCCTGCAAGCCCTTGACTTGGTTATAAGATGCCCTGCGGCCTTGGCTGGCTGAGTTGGACTTGAAAACCCTACTCTCCTGTGCTTTGTCAGCCCAGAAACTAGCCCGTGCACCCTTCTCTCTGTGGGTCTCTTCCCAAAGCCGAATAAAGTGCTAATTTGTGTTGCTCTTATATCAGTGTGATTTACTTGCTTGGGAAGCACACATTCCGACTCTTTCCAACTTGCCGATAACATGCTTTCAGAACATGTGCTCTTGAGTGAAATGTCTTGAAACTGGAGACATTTCTTGGTGGAGCTCTTTGGGTCTTTGACGAGACTTCCTCTCACTTAACGTTGCCATGCAGCCAGCATGTGTTGAGGGTCTTCTGTGTGCTGAACGTGTTGGTGGATCTGAAGTGGTTAAGAACTGCTTCCTAACCAACTTTTAACAGTCTGCATACAGTCTGCTAGTATGTCTCACATTTTTGGGTTAAGTCCACATTAAAAAGCACTTAAATGTCCACAGAATGATAATCTATAAAAAGAACATTTAATAGCCATAAAAAAGAAGAAAATTTTACCCTTTGCAACAGCATGGATGGACTTAGAGGATGTTATGCTAAGTGAAATAAGCCAGTCACAGAAAAACAAGTACCATATGATCTCACTCATATGTGGAATCTAATGAACAAACTGAACTAACAAGCAAAATAGAGACAGACTCAAATAGAGAGCAGGCAGACAGCTCTGGTGGTGGTGGTGGTGGTGGTGGGCAGGGGGAGGCGGGTGTGGAGGGGTTGAGCAAAAACGAGAAAGAGCTTATGGACACGGCAGCAGTGTGGTGATTGTGGGAGAGGGGGTGGGTAGAGGTGGAAGAGGGTATGGGGTATAAATGGTGATGGAAAAAAATAAAATAGGATAAATTAAATGGAAAAAACACATTTTGTTTGTGTCATCTTCTGGAAAACTTTGTCAGTTCAATGGGGGGGAAAAAAGAAAAAACTGTGAATTGTTTTGTGATTTGATGAAATTGACAGGTCTCATTAGTCAAAATATGGCTGTAGGAACCTGAAACCCTGAAATAGATTTAAGAGAGTTATAAAAACATGGTCTCTGTTAGCAAGAATTGTTTTTCATAGTCTGTTTCATATTTTCCTAATTCTGCTTCTTGGTTCTAAAGTATGAGCTTCCATACATTTAGAATTTTTGTATTAATTTTGACTAATGGATTTCTTAGTTCTCACTTACAGTACAATGGCTCCATAACCTCCTTTCGTGTAAGTGTGTCCCGTCAGGTGAATGGTACATTTGTTCATACTGATGTCAATTTTATTTTAGGTTCTCATTATGACTTGCTATGTCGCCTTGATTGTTTTGAAAAATGGTTACTTGTCACTGTCAGACATTAACCTTTTGGTGTTTGATGAATGTCACCTTGCAATCCTAGACCACCCATATCGAGAAATTATGAAGGTAAGTTTTTATATTTTATCAGTCTTAATAATTCAGGTCAAATTAATGAGTATAAGCAGTGTTTTTATATATCAAAGCAATAGTATTAGTTACTAATTTTGTGAACTTGGTTCCAGTGTATGAATGAATGAATATTAATGTTCATTTACATCTATAGTCTATAATAATAAGCTATAATAAATAATCTATAATAAAACTAAATCTGTAATAAAATTTTAAGCATAAGAAATCTGCCTTTGTGATAAGTGGAACTTTTAAGCATGCTACCATAATTCTGCAAGTAATATTTTTAGTATTTGTCAGTCTTTTTGGACATGTTTTAATATGGTGATGCCTTTTTTATTATGGCCTTGCAAAATGAATTTCTTACTGTTAGTATCTTGTATTATGTTAGCTCTGTGAAAGTTGTCCGTCATGCCCTCGTATTTTGGGACTAACTGCTTCCATTTTAAATGGGAAATGTGATCCAGAGGAATTAGAAGAAAAGATTCAGAAACTGGAGAAAATTCTTAAGAGTAATGCTGAGACTGCAACCGACTTGGTGGTCTTAGACAGGTATGCACTTCCGACGGACTCGGTGTGGCCAGACCAGCTAGAACTAACTCGGGGCCTGCAGGCCTTTCCCGTGCCTCGCAGGAGGTGCCTGCGCAAGAGCACACAGTGGCTGTTAAAAGGAAAGAGCGAGACAGCAGTTCTTTACCAGGACAGTCCCTTCGAATGCAGGGGCTTAACCCTGTTTACACAGAGAGAGGCAGATGGAGGTGTTTCTGCCTTAGGAGAGAATATTGCATCAGCCTTGGCCCTTCATATTTGCTGATACTGACAAGGACTGGGGACATGATAGTAAATTTGTGTTCCTTTCCATCAATGTGTGTGCTTTGTTCTTCTGATCTAAATGTCACATGTGATGGTTTGAAAGAACATTACTTAGAGAATTCAGTATTTTACAATATGCTTTAAAATAATTGGAAACACCCTGTAGTTTTGAAAATGGATATGAATTTCTGAGAAAGATGTTTATGATTTCTAGGCTCGTCTCTTTGAGGGGGTTGCTATTTTGAGTTTCATTGAAACACACACACACACACACACACACACACACACACACACAAATTTTGATTTAAGTTTGTGGAAGGGAGCCTGTATAAATAAGGTTTTTAAATAAATGAAACAAATTTAATACATATTAAAATACCTTTATATTCTTATCAGATACAGTCTTTTAACAAGTAAAGACATATTTAAATACTACAGGTTTCATTATTCTCAGGTTATGGATTTAAATCAGACATGGGCTATGAATACTGGCTCCACTAATTGTAAGCTGTGTGACTGCCAGTCATTTACTGTTCCTGCATCTGTAAAATGGCATTGGCAGTCGTTTCAGGGGATTCTTCGATGATTAATTACGTAGACACCTAGAAAACACCTTGCAGTGTGCCTGGCGTTTAGTAGAATTTTGGAAAATTCTCTTTGTAGAATGAGAAAAAAAGATAATGTTTTAGGTTATAGAACTTAGGTATCCAAATGCCATATGAAATACAGATCTCATAACCTTTAGGACATGTTATTTTTTACTTCCTGCAAGAAAAGTAGAGGTATTATAACATTTAAGTAAAACTTTCTAGGATGATGATGATAGGTAATCTGTTGGATTTGGTATTACCTAGTTCTCTAAATGTGGCTCTTTGGTTAGGTATAGATTCTGGTTGAGAATAATGAAAACTAGTATTTAAATATGTCTTTACTGTACTTTTCCCTTAATTATTGTATGTGCTTTTAGAATATTATGTGCTACTCTGGTTGTCACATTTTATGAAAGATCCAATGAAAGATACTGTAATTGACTGAAAGTTGGGGGAAGCTTTCCCTATAGCAGATTTTATAAAAACACATAAAAAGTAAAGTTGACATTTGCAAATGCTATACCTTCAACTAGTATGGAAATGGATCAATTTAATAACATCTCCCCCTACCATCTAACCCCCATCCCTGATTTCTGCTTCTGAAAAGTATCATGTTGAGTTTCTTGAGTACTTTGACCAACATTATTCCTGAGGGGGCAAAAGATGAAAGTCTAAACCTAAAAAACAAAATTAAAAACCTGGCATAAAAATGAATTCTCAAAATTCTTTGACTGTCAGCTTTCTGCAGTCATTCCTTGAGCCCTGACAGGCAAACACATAGCATGGACACAAGTGAGCACCACTTCAGGGAGCTGGTGAGCCTGCCTGTTGTTCCAAGTAGGTGTGCAAGCTGAACATAGGAGGTTTCTTGCTTGGTTTAGATATGTAGTGGATCGTAATGCAGTAGTGCATTTACTGTAGTATTGACCACTTTTGTTCCTGATGTTAAAGATACACTTCTCAGCCATACGAGATTGTGGTGGACTGTGGACCATTTATGGACAGAAGTGGGCTTTATGAGAGACTGCTGATGGAATTAGAGGAAGCACTTAATTTTGTCAATGACTGTAATATATCTGCACATTCAAAAGAAAGAGATTCTACTTTAATTTCTAAACAGGTAAGCATATGCAAAGTAAGTATAGGACATATAATAAAAGGCTTCTGTTTGTGTTTAGTATTGAAATGAAAATATGCTTCTGATGAGGGTAGTTTCTATACTTTTTAATTTAAGGCCTGAACCTTACCTCTTTGGACATGTATCAAACATATATTGGGTTGAGTTTACTAGAGTATAGACCTCCCCCATATGAGAGATGACTTAGGATGTTCATGTCATGGCTATTTGAATAAAAGGAATGAGTCCAGTTTTCTTATTTCTTGGTCAGATGAGTTAGTACCTGCTCAAACCCTTTGCCTAAACAAATTCTTTTGCTGTTTCCTTGTGTGTAACTGGATATGAGCTTGTCATCTCTGAACGGGATTCAGCTTTGAGAAGAGATCCCTTAGGATAGTGGTTCTCAAGTATGGACCCCAGACCAGCATCATCGGCACCCCCTGGAACTTGTTAGACATGTGAATTATGGGCTCACCCTGGACCTGCTGAATCTAAAACCGGGGGTGGGTCCAGCTGGCTGAGATTGACAGGCCGTCCAGTTACCCTGTTGCTTTAAAACGTGAGAACCATTGTTCTAGGACTTTGCACCCGTTCATGAGTGCTGACTGCTGCATCTGCATCTTAATTTCTCCCTTGCTGATGTTTTCTGAAGCAGCAATGCCCAGACTCTCCTTAGCCCTTGAATTGTCACTAAGTCCATGTTCCCCCCAGTCTGTCTTTTACTCGCCTGCAGAAGGTTCCTCAGTCACTCGCTGTGGATTGGCAGTCTGCTCTGAGCTAGGATTGTAAGGTGTGGTTCTCTGCATATAAAGTTAAAGGAAAATTGTCTTGCTCTTTGATACCTAAAATAAGATGACTCCACTATGGAATTCCTTGTATAGTTACCTGAAAGTAAATGACTCAGTTGTCCTTCTAACTAATCAGAGATCTAAAAATAAAGTTTCATTATCTTTATACAATTGTATCTTTTAATATCTATTATTTGATTATTTTTGCTGGGAAAAACAAAATGATGGTTCTGGATGTGTGTGTGTGTGTGTGTGTGTGTGTGTGTGTGTGTGTATGAAAAAGTAGAGCTTGGAAAGACCACAGGCCCCTGTTCCCAACCTTAGGGCATTAACCTCAGTGTTCACATGAATATGTGGGGTACATTTATTTTGAAGGGGCAGATTGAAGATAACGTAAACCCCAGTTAAACCTCATAGGGCACTGCTACGTGATTATTGTGTAACATTTGGCGCTTTTTGTTCTGTAGATACTGGCGGACTGTCGAGCGGTGTTGGTAGTTCTGGGGCCCTGGTGTGCAGATAAAGTAGCTGGAATGATGGTGAGAGAACTGCAGAAACACATCAAACATGAGCAAGAGGAGCTGCACAGGAAATTCCTGCTGTTCACAGACACTTTCCTGCGGAAAATCCATGCCCTGTGTGAAGAGCACTTCTCACCTGCCTCACTGGACCTGAGATTTGTAACTCCTAAAGTGATCAAACTGCTGGAGATCCTCCGCAAGTACAAACCGTATGAGCGACAGCAGTTTGAGAGCGTGGAGTGGTACAATAACAGGAACCAGGATAACTATGTGTCTTGGAGTGACTCTGAGGATGATGATGAGGATGAAGAAATTGAAGAAAAGGAGAAGCCAGAGACAAATTTCCCTTCTCCATTCACCAATATTTTATGTGGAATTATTTTTGTGGAAAGAAGATACACAGCAGTTGTCTTAAACAGGTAGATCTCTACAGTTAGCCTTTTCCCCAGAGCGGAGCCAGGCAGCGTGTTGTTCTGTGAGGCTCTGCCGGGGTGGCGTCAGAGCTGCAGGGGTGATGGAATGTCCCCCGCACCATCGCCGCGGCTGCTCACGGCAGTGCCAGGCAGGGTTGGCAGCGGGCATGTGTGCCCAGCAGCTCTCCCAAAAGGCCCCATTTCGCAGCCCTGAGGTTTGCTCTGCAAGGATGCTAACCTCTAACCCGCCTGAAGTGGAGAGCAAGTAGAGAGCAATTACGTTAAAGTGAAGCCTTTCTTGTTTTGTCTTCAGTTGTTAGGGCCAGTTCAGATACTTACTGTTCTGTGCTGCTGTGTTGGGCGTGTGTTAATGTTAAGCATTCCACAGCAGGCTTTGTCCCGAAGGTAATCTTTGGGTAAACGTCATCTCTGGGTGGTGGTGTGGCTGATTTTTTATGTTAGCTTTTTTACCCCTTAAGTGTTAATTCAAGTTTGCAGTGGAAAAAGTTTTGAACAACTGGATTCGCGACGTGAGTTAGTTCGTAGACTATATATTAAGTTTCCTGAGTCAGGAGAGAATAAGGTGTCAGGGAAACATTTGGAGAATATTGGCAAAGGAGACAGTGGGTCCCGCCCCTGCCCTTCCTCGGGAGCAGCTGGGGTTCCGGTGTGTCCGACGGCCCCCTAAGGGCTGGTTCTCGGTTTGTGGGCCGATGCTTTATTTGTAAGGGCCAGGTTCTTCTTTTGTGCTTCAGACAACCTGCTTTCTAGGACATCCATTAATTGGCCCAGTGGATCCCTAAGAGCCTTTCCTGCAAGTAGTGATCTCTGAGGAGAAATTAAGCTTTGTTTCCTGAGGTAATTTCGGGGTTTTTCTTTCTGAACTGCTTCTGACTGGTTTGGGATTTTTGAAAACTTAGTTGAGTAACGAGAAATTGGGCCCTGGGGCCGCCGTCTGGTGGTTTGCAGTCTGGTAATTTTCATGGTCATTGGGCCTGATCCCTGTGATGAACACACAGTAAAGCAGCGTCAGGGAGTGAATTACACTGAAGCCGGGAGTTTAAGGTTGGGAAGGGACTTCACTGACTACCTAATCCAGCCACTTACTTTTGTATGAAAGAGCAGAGGCCTCGGGAGGAAAAGTGGTTTCCTCTGCGTTAAATTGCTCGTCAGTGACAGAGACAGTGCACGCAGCCTGACATCCGCTCCTGGCTTCCAGTTCCCTCTGCAGTCACGGTGCCCCTGGGCGTCACAAACACTAACCCGCGCTTGGCTCTGCGGTGGGAAGGCTGCCAGGAGCAGCCAGGACGGCTGTTGGGATCGGCATGGGAGAAAGGCATTTCACCGGTCAGGAGGGTTTACTATTGGCACCGTTCTGGCCTGGTTATAGACATACTCCCCGCCCCCCTTCCAGGACGGTTTAAGAATTAAATTTTCTGGGGCTTGGAGGGAAGAAATGGGGCTATTTTCTTCCTTGCCGCCACCTCTGCATGTGTTTTTAAATGTGGAGATGGGCCAGGTTTCATTGCAAGAGCATTAGCCTGAAAAGGTTTATCGAAAACCAGTCATTGCTTCCTATTGACTTTGAGGATCAGATTAATTGCGATCAACTCTCATAAAATGTGGCTGGAATTTAGTGTTGGATGATGAATCAAGAGCGATTTGAGGGTTGACTTTATGGGCAGCTAATTGAATATACAATAGAGGTCTTGTTCCAGTTTTTTAATAAGCTTAGAAAAACTTCCTGAAGTCCAGATTCTTTCCTTCCATCAACTTAATGGGAGGAAAAGCCCTTCTTCAGTGAACAGCTTCACGGAGGGTGAGCTATTGTAATCCACGGGCAGTTTTCTCCTCTCCTCATTGAAAAATAAGTCACAGCCACTTCTGTGTACAGAGGAGGTGTACACACAGTCTTAGGTTTATAGCTTTCCTTTTGCCTTACATATAGGGCTTTAGGGCTTATAATTTATCTTTGTACATATGTATTTTTCAACTTCACAGCACTTCATGAGGCGGAAGGCAGAGAATTTTACTCTATTATAGATGAGGAAACGGAGACGCACTCGGTGACTCTCCCAAAATAACGCTGGTAGGAAGTGCAGAGAATGGCTTCCCTTCCCCAAGCCCAGTGCTCTCTTCCCTGTGTAACTTCCTAATACTGTGTGACATGGGACAATCCAGGGCTCACACCCCCCCATTTCCCTAATAACCTTTTGTTTACAGAAGAGTTGCAAAGATGTGCAGAGTTCCCCTGTAGGCCCCCCCGCCCCCAGCTTTTCCCCGCCTGTGCTATTAACATCTTATGTTCTCACTAGTAGCCCCGCGTGCGCGAGTAGCTCTCTGCCGCTTGCCTCAGCTGGCCCTCCGCCGCTGGTAGCTCTCCGCTGCTCTTGGCTCACTGCCCCGCCCTCTGGTAGCTCTCCACCACTTGTAGGTGGGTCCTGATGTTATGGTGTAATCGAGAATGAGCATATTCCTCTCTTATTAGGTAGGATTCTATAGCATAGGATAGGATTATATAGAATGGTACATTTGTCACATCCCAGAAGCTAACATTGGTGTGTTACTATGAACTAAACTCCAGACTTGATTTGAATGTCACCAGTTTTCCTATTATATCTCTTCTTCATGCATTTACGTGTATGTCTCCCTAATCTCAGGTCTCTCACAGTTTCTCAGTCTGCCCTTGTTTGGATGACCTTGGCAGTCTTGGAGTCAGTCCGGTCGGGCATTTTGTAAAATGCCTCTCACTTTGAATTTGTCGAACATTTTTCTCAGTGTTAGCCTGGGGCTTTAGGGTGTGGAAGAACACCCCAGAGATGAAGTGCCCTTCCCATTGTATTAGGGTTCGTGGCATCAGCACGAAGCATCACAGGTGATGCTAGACTGGCTCACCTGGCTCACTGGTGTTTGCTGGCTTCTCCGCGATCGTGGTTCTTTGGCCCTTTTCTTCCTTTATCCTTTGGAAGCAAGTCACCAAGTCTGGTTTATCCCGGGGGGGCGGGGTTAAGCTCCATTCCTGGAAAGGGGCTTCTCTATGTAAGTTGTTAGAATTCTCTGTAAGGAAAACAGGTCTGTTATCCTGTCTGCCTGTTTGTATTTATTGGATCAGTATGGATTCATGTTTGTTTATTTTCTACTTTGGGTTGTAACCTAATACTAGGTTATTCATTTTGTTGCTCACATGGTCCACACCTTTGGTGCTGGCTCCTGTGTTCCTTTGATGTGCCGCCTCCTCTTGTGTTTGAGCACAGCCTTATGGTCTGATGCTACTCGATGCCCAGCTCTTGTCCTTTCCCTGCAGAACAGTCATTCCTCCAGGGAGCTCTGGCTCCTTTTATTTCTACCCACTCTACAGAGGTATATTTTGTGAAAGTTACCTAATGCCTCAGCCTCTTCATCTGTAAAATAGTAGTAATAGCTCTCTCTCCTATTGGATATTGTATGTAAAAATGACTGTTTTCTCACCTGACACACAGTAGGAATACAGTGTCAATGTGTTACAACTATCAGTGATTGTTTTTTTGCTAAGATCATACAGGAGTTACATTTGATTTTCTCACTTTGATAAGAAAATATAAAGAGCAAAGATATTATTAAAGGTACTAGAGGCCCAGTGCAGGAAAATCTGTGCACTCAGGGGTGGGGGGCGGGTCTGTCAGCCAGCCTGTGCCCTCTTGCAGTCCGGGACCCCTCGGGGGATGTCCGACTAATGGCTCCCTATGAGGAATGGGCCTAAGCTGTCAGTTGGACATCTTTATGCTGCCACGGAGGTGAGAAAGGCTGCTACCGCTGTGCTGGCCAGCCATGAGCTGGCTTTTGGCTGAGCGGCGCTCCCCCTGTGGGAGTGCACTGACCACCAGGGGGCAGCTCCTGCATTGAGCGTCTACCCCCTGGTGGTCAGTACGCATCATAGCGTCCGGCCCTTTTATTATATAGTATTTGCATAATATCCTTTTATTATATAGGATTGTTGATAACATATTTCAGTACCTGGCAGACATTTCAGATGATGTGTTTGTATCTATGAATTTTCCCCCTTTTGGCTCTCTGTGAATTAGCATGTTTAGTCAAATCAGAAGCACATTTACTGGTTTTCAGAATCTAGCATGCGTCGTTCTTGTTTTGGGCCACGCTGCTTCCAGTGTAATTGGGTAGGCAGCGTGCATTTGCACACAGTGTGGCATTTGCACAGCCAGTGCCCACTGTGGTGAGGTAGGTGCAGAGGTGGAAGCATCCAGAAACTCTTTGTTTGGACAGTAAGTATATCTGTCAAATATAATACAACAGTAATGATTTTTAAGATTCATTTTGTTAATAGTTAATTTTCATAGAATTTTACAAAAACATTGGTCTCTGATGGATTTGAAATAAAAACAATAACCAGTTTGCTGTAGATAGTTTGAGAAGCTCTGAGCACTGGAGGGCAGCGTAGTTTACCACGCGGCTTGCTGGTGGGACGACGTGCATAGACTCACTGAAAGAGGCCAGAGGACAAGGGAGATGGTGTCTCCCAGCCCTCGGTCCCGTGAAGTCTCCAGGCAGCTTGTCTGGCTGGTCCGCTCTGCAGTAGCAGACCTGTGTCGCTTCTCCGAAACCCACAGCTTCGACTTGGGCATGTGGTTTGGCATCCCTTCAACTTACCTGAGAGAGAAATATGTGTTCTCTCTCTAACTTTTCCAGCCTAGGCATAGAGCCTTTAAGTGATTTCTCACAAGAGATTTTGTTTATTAATGTGCACACTGTGTCTTCTGTTCTCTGCAGCGTCGATGCGCGTGTCATTAGGAGAAATAACCCACTCCCAGGGCCTCCGTCTCAGCTGATTGGAGTCTGCCAGGCTGATCACTTGGCAAAGTAAAACATGTCCTCTGCCTGATCGGGAGTAACTTGAGACGCATTGTTTTAACCTCCGTTGCATTCACATCGATGCTTGCTTACCTAAACTTAAATTTGGAAGTCCATATTTCTAAGATAATTGCATATTTTAGATGTGGGGTATGTTATCCGTGTGCATGTGGCATTGCTTTCTGTTACAGATGTCATAGTTTGTTGTAATAACTAAACAAAGCTTGGAATGTACGAAGTCTCACGTTTTCAGTGCTAGGATTGTAGGCAGGCTCCCAGGCTGTGCTGACGGGGAGGCAGCAGGGTATTTTAGATGGCCACTCAGAGTTTCCTCCAGCTCTTTGATATTAGTCTGTTTCATGTATTTAGAAAAGGAAAAAAGAATGGTTTGACTTAAAAATGCAATTTTCTATTAGGAATTTATGCTATGTTGTATGACTTCAGAAGGACCATATGGAATCGCTTACGTCAGGTGTGGAACCATTTATCCTGTGTGCTGAGTTTTGAATGTGGATATTTCCAAAATAGCTGTGATGGCAGTGCTAACTGTTCACCTTCTGTGCGTGTAAAGTGATCTCCGCCTGCAGCTCTTCCCTGTCTCAGCTGGAAGGCCGGCCTGAGGTGATGGGCACCTGGGTGGATGCGGAGGAGCAGGCCGTGTCGCGCTCTATCCTCCAAGGGTGGGACGGGCTCTGGGTGCTGTGCCCAGGCCCAGTGTCTGTGATGCAGAGCTGTGGTCAGCGCCAGGGGCTGGGATGGTGGGGAGTGGGGAGGCAGGTGCTCTCTCCCTGGAGCTGTTCTCGGTGCAGGGTGCCGGGGGAGACGGAGCCCTGCCCAGGTTTCTTTCCGCACACAGCTGGGCGTCTCAGGCTCCTCTGCTGCAGAGCTGCTCCCTTGGCGCAGGGGGTGAGCGTGGCACAGACACTAGGGCACGCCTGCTGCCCCAGGTGGTGCCAGCACCGAGGGAGGTGCCTGCGGCCTGCAGCTGAGGTGGAGGAGGCATTGCTGTTTCTCTGCCTGCTCTGGCTCTGTCCCTTCCTGGGCCAAATTTCTGTTACGTCATCACCCAAATTAGAGAGTTTGAGGCACTGTGACCATCGTATCCATCAGGCTGCGTCAGTCTCAGCCCTGTGGTAGTGTTACAAGAATTGGGCCCACAAAACTACTCAGCGCGGAGTGGCAGTGGTTTCTGTTGAAGCTACTTGGGGAAAGTGCCATTTTGTTAGGTATATTGGCAAAAAATTCGTGCATTTCCATTTTAAGGGAGACCTTATAAACAAGGTCTAAATGTTTTCCCCTCACCAACGTTTAACTTCAAAATGTATATGATTTCCTTAGATTGATAAAGGAAGCTGGCAAACAGGACCCAGAGCTGGCTTACATCAGCAGCAACTTCATCACTGGGCACGGCATCGGGAAGAACCAGCCTCGCAACAAGCAGATGGAAGCGGAATTCAGGAAGCAGGAAGAGGTGACTTAAGTTAAAATCACTATAGTGACAGTTTTCAGAGCACAGGCGACACACTGCCCATAGCCACTCCCTTTCTTCAGGAGCCTCAGCCTTTTCCTGTACGACAGGATGCTTGTTCATACACGACTTCTCCTGAGGTGGTTGTGTAGTGATTCATAAATTGAGAATTAGAATTGCCCCGGTAAATCAGCTTTGTGTCTTATTTGCTATCAATCATTGCACTTTCCTTTATCAACCCGAGGCACACAACTCCGTTTCCTAGGAAAAGGGCATGCGTAGCCGTCACTCCTGATGACGCGGATGGCTGAAGCAACAAATGAAAGCTTTTCCTGGAATGGCTTTGTTTTCCATAAAGATTTTGGCTTAGTTTTTTTCATTCTTTTTAAGATTTTAATACAGGAAATAGCATTGTAAAGGTGCGAAAGCCTAATGTATTCTGGCTCTCAAAATATTTTTATTTAAAGTTTGTTATTTAACTTAAAAGTAGCAGAATAATTCACGTTGATGCCGTTTTCTATGTCATAGCTTTTTGATAATATTCCATTTGGGGAGTCCGATGGCCAGAGGCTGATAGGTCTGTCTAAAACCCCATTTACTTTATTATTTAACTTATCCTGAATTGGGAAATGGTGTTATTTTAAATCTAGGAAGAAAAAAGTTTTCACTTTATTTTTTAATTAGAGGCCCGGAAGCCCCGGTTGCCTTGACCAGCCCTTGCAGCCCCTTGCAGCCTTGGTTTGTCCGGTGGTTCTGCTGTTCGGTCTAATTAGCATGCTAGCTTTTTATTATATAGGATTCTAATTTCTGCATTAGAAAGTTCTCACGATTCCAGAAAATAAATAATGCCTTGCCTGTAATTTTTAATTTCAACTGATTTAGGGATTTTAGTGAATTTTAACATCTTTGGGGGGATGTTGGCACAGTCTCACAGACAGATATCATTGTGGGGGGTCAGAATGTCAACAGGACTCGAGAAGTGGATTCATTGGGTCACTTTGTTGGCAGGATCCTTTGTGGTCATTAAAGACGCCAGCCCCTTCAACGTGAGACCTTCTGTGGTTTGTGCGTGGACACGTCTGTAAAGTTGGAAGACACTTCGATTTCTCACGTCATATTCAGTTGAAAACTATTGTTAAATCACAACTTCTTTGCCCATATGTTCATGCAGTATGAATTTTGTTTGATGTCATCTTCCTTAGTTTGGCCTTAAAAATTTAGCATACCCAGAGTATATGTCAGAAATGACAGTTGTCACTTTTACTACATTTTTTTTGGAAAATTTTTTAGAATTGCTTTTATTTGGTGGATTTTTTTTCAGGTACTTAGGAAATTTCGAGCACATGAGACCAACCTGCTAATTGCAACAAGTATTGTGGAAGAGGGTGTTGATATACCAAAATGCAACTTGGTGGTCCGTTTTGATTTACCCACAGAGTATCGATCCTATGTTCAATCTAAGGGAAGAGCAAGGGCACCCATCTCCAATTATATCATGTTAGCAGATACAGACAAAATCAAAAGTTTTGAAGAAGACCTTAAAACATACAAAGCTATTGAAAAGGTAAGATCCAAAAGTTAAAGTTATTTCTATGTGTACAGAGATAGATAAAAATTCATCTACAGAGAATGACTTCAACAGGCCTGTGCAGTGTGTACATGATAAGAAAGTTGAACGTAAGGGTGGTGCAAAAGTAGGTTCACAGTTGTTTGGAAAATAATACAATAATTAATAAATCACAATACAAGAATAAACTCTGTTTTGTGTACTTACAACTGTAAACCTACAAAGAGCCAGCAGCATCTTCTAAAGTGCTTGCAAGCTTACAGTAAATGGAGGAAGTGGTCATATGGGTTATTCAGGAAGAATGCCTGGAAAGCACACTGAGTGTGGACAGTGTAGTGACAGTGGACGGTTTGGGGTCTGGAGTGATGTCAGAATGATACTGCTCCTGTACTAATGGAAGAGACCGGTGATTGTGTGTGTGCGTGCGCTGTGCACTGTAAGCCTTGCGCCTTTATGACGAGGGTCCCTGTGACCGGTTCTAGAAGGAACGCACTGGGAGGAATTTTCTGCAGCAGGTGGCTTTGGAGTATTGAAGGGTGTTTGGAAGAGAAGTTTCCTGTCAAGGGGCCTTTTTCTAGAGGGACGGAGGTGGGCAACGCACATATGGCAAAGAAGGCGTTAGTTGCCTCAGAGATTCTGTTTTAAATGTTCAGATCTTGAGAAACAAATGCTCCAAGTCAGTTGACACTGGGGAGACTGACATCGAGCCTGTGGTGGACGACGACGACGTGTTCCCGCCGTATGTGCTGAGGCCCGATGACGGGGGTCCACGCGTCACAATCAACACGGCCATTGGGCACATCAATAGGTATGTCTGAGCTCACTGGCGTGGAAGTCTCTGAGTACTGAAGGTTTCAGTCTAAACCTGTAGGGACTGCATTGTTGTTTACCTTTTGCAAACAGAGACCCATCTTTCCATTTATGGCTTGTAATATTTTGATAAGAGAAAAATATGAAGTTGCTTTTTTCCATTCATTCTTCTTTTTGGTCAAGGGGCTAAGACAATATTGTGCAATGAAAATGTTTAGTTCCCATCGACAAGCTTGACACAATGAAGGTGTGCTTATTTTAATTAGATTTAATTTTACAGTGCTCACTAACATTTTTCTGAATTCTGAAATTTATTGTTTTGTGCCACAAATGTTGGGAAATATTGAATTTTTCACCTGCAACAATTTAAGATTATGATGAATTAACTTGTATAGTCGAGTATGTTCTAATTTACTTGGTCCTGACTTGGTAATAATATTTCTAAGAATGAAGAAAAGCAGATACATGCCTAGAGTATGTATCAGGATAAATCTTATGCAGAGGTAAAACACAGGAGCAGCCAGCATAAGACTTTCTTTTCAACTTTTTATTTCAAAATAAATTAAAACTTTAAAATGTTGCAAGAATACTAGTAAGAACTCCCATGTCCCCTCACCCAGAGAGGCCTGTTCAAGTTTCACGGGATGTGCTTGGTAGTGAAAGAATCCCACCTGGGGCCATGGGTTTGTCTGTTTTTCTCATCACCTCTTGTCTCCTTCAGCCTGGAACTGATCTTCAGCTTCCTTGACTTTAATGGCCTTGCAGCTTTTGAAGATTACAGGCTGGTCACTTTGTGGCCTGTCTCTCAATATGGCTTCGCCTGGCAAGTGTAAGATGGTTAAGGAACAAACACTGGTGATGTGTTCTCTTAACAGATCAGAGCCTCTTCTGCACTCACTGTCCAGCATGGTAGTCACTGGACACGTGACTATTTAAATCCAGATTTCAATTTTAATTAAAATTAAATAAGGTAAAAAGTTTAGTTCCCTGGCTGCCCTCTCCACCTTTCAGGGGCTCAGTGGCCGCCTGGTGGACAGCGCCCTTACAAAGCATCGTTGCAGGAAGTCTGTTAGACACACTGTTCCTTGTTGCCAGTGTGAAGCAGTGAGGCTCCCACTCCACTAAATGCCGCTCAGCGGAGGGGAAGAGGGACCTCAGAAGTCAAACAGGATGTGACTGTCAGTAAAATGTTCTCATCTGTCTCTCAGTCGTAGATTGAGCATCAGAATTCCTTTTTCTTCCCAGATACTGCGCTAGATTACCAAGTGACCCGTTCACTCATCTAGCTCCTAAATGCAGAACCCGAGAGTTACCTGATGGGACATTCTATTCAACTCTTTACCTGCCAATCAACTCACCTCTTCGAGCCTCCATTGTTGTAAGTTTAGAGAAAGAAGTGATGTGCCTTCAGTATCACTACATAACTCACAGACTCGCAGAATTGGAGTGTATGGAGTGTATGGCCTCGGAGGTCCCCGCCAAGATCCGATTAGTGTCTGCATGTCTGACAGAACCGCTCAGCTGTGGCTTAGATGTGCACAGTGACCCCGAATTCGAAGCTGTCATTGGGCTGCTCTATTGCTCTCCTGACTTGAGGCTCTGTCTTTGAGTAACTGCTGTCTGTCCTTGGTCCCAATGCTCATTTCCAGATATTCGAAGATGACTAATTTCTATTGCACATTAAAAGTTGTTCAGAACTATTATCATGTATTTTGTAGTCCAATCTTGATATAACTTTATTTTTTTGTTACATGCTTGTAGATTAATGAAAATAAAATATATTAAAATTTAAATTCACCAAAATTGTTAAGTCTTAGTTATAATTTATTCAGTTTTTCTGGGAAAGATTTTTAAAGTTGGCTATTTTAGATATGGAGAATAGGATTTTTTAAACTTGTGGACATTTTCCAAAAGAAAGAACTTTCCTCTGGTAAATTTCAACTTGAAAGGTATTGGGACAGAAGTTTTATAGATATTTTAGGTGTTAATAATAATATAGCTACGTGCATATACAATGGAAATATTTCTTGTTACTTTCAGGGTCCCCCAATGAGCTGTATACGATTGGCTGAAAGAGTTGTAGCTCTTATTTGTTGTGAGAAACTGCACAAAATTGGTAAGCAGTTGAAAAGCACGTGCAAATAAAAATAAAGTTAAAAACATTGTAAAGCAAAAGCATGTCAAGGACTTTATAGGTCGACGGGTTTTGTGGAGCTGTGAGCTGTGTCGGGGGAGGAGGCTTGGTTTCCCACCGCTGAGCCGCAGACAACTCCCTTTTTTCGCTTTCTTTACTGACTCCTTTTAGATGCATAAAGGTTTCCATATACGGTTGAATCATGAATGTTTGCATTTTAACACCAGTCTCTCAAATTAACCTATATTAGTGTACAGGTTAATCCACTTCCTTAAAAATGGGAGGATGGGATCCCCATGGCTTTTGTAAAGTGATGACAATGTGCTCTTTTCCTGTTCGGATGTTTTTATTTTTGAAATTCTGCTCATATTGAATATATGGATTCAGCATAGACTTTGCCTTAAGTATCACGTTCGATTACGTTTTTATTAAGAGCAAAGATGCTTTAGTTGTCATTACTCTTCCAGTTGCTTCCTCTGTATCGTTGACTAATTAGGGAGGCAACATCTGTATTGTGTGTGTCAATTCTCTTTACATTTCGTAGGTGAACTGGATGACCATTTGATGCCAGTTGGGAAAGAAACTGTTAAATATGAAGAAGAGCTTGATTTGCATGATGAAGAAGAGACCAGTGTCCCAGGCAGACCAGGTTCTACAAAACGAAGACAGTGCTACCCAAAAGCAGTTAGTATTGGTTAGAGCTGAATAAAAATCTGGCCTTGTCACTTTCTTTCCTGCTGCATCAAATCTCAGCTCCTCTGGCTGGCTTCCCAAACCCCTGTCATTTGGCCCCCTCTGGACCTCCACTGCCTCCCCTACCGCTCCTTCTCTCGGATCTGCCCCTGCCCACTCGGACATGGCACCTCTTTTTCTTTCCAAAAGGATTCTTCGACTCACCTATCAGGTTCTATCCAGAACAAGCGTATTTCTTTTAAAGAGGTATTCTTTGTTTTACTCACTGTAGTGATAAGGTGCTTGCTTTACTTATGTGTGGGGCTAAGACAGAAGAGGATTTGTATGATCAAATAGATAAGTGGAAGGGTGCCTGTTCAGGGTGAGGGGCACACTGGCGGGCATAAGTACAGATACCTGTCAGGAGTTAGGGTGTGGTCTGCTAGGCGTCAGAATCCGTTCTTTCAGCGTATGTGTCCTGGTGGATCGGTGGCAGTTCATGCACTAAAGCTGCCGAGTCTGACTTCGGGTTCCAGCTGTAGAATCAGCAGTGCATTATGGGTAGGTGAACGTGGGCCTTGTATCCCAGACCTGAGAAATGCTTATTTACTCTCCAGCGGGCTACGTAATAGGAGGTCTTGTGCCTCGGTTATTTTCTCAGCTTCTCAGCAGCATTTGGTAAAGCCAGGAGTAAGTTTCTTTTCTTGCCAACATCTGGAAAAGAGGCTATTATATTTGAGCATGATGCTGAGTTTTTCTTTCCAATTCTAGATTCCAGAATGTCTGAGGGATAGCTATCCCAAACCTGATCAGCCCTGCTACCTGTATGTGATAGGAATGGTTCTAACGACCCCGTTACCTGATGAACTCAACTTCAGAAGACGGAAGCTCTATCCCCCTGAGGACACCACAAGATGCTTTGGGATACTGACAGCCAAACCCATACCTCAGGTGAGGCACTGCATAATGACTACCGATGTTAGAAGGAAAACAACTTAAGAGTGACTGCCTTGTTCCCGCAGTGTGTTCAGTATTTAAAAATTGAGCTGTCTCTTCTGCTTCCTGATAGAAAGCATCACTTCTCTCCTGAAGTTAAATACTTAGAAAGGAATCGATACCTGTTAACCGTGGGCGCTTTGTCTTCCTTTGTGCTAAGATTCCGCACTTTCCGGTGTACACTCGCTCTGGAGAGGTCACCATATCCATCGAGCTGAAGAAGTCTGGCTTCACGCTGTCTCTCCAGATGCTCGAGTTGATTACAAGGCTCCACCAGTATATATTCTCACATATTCTTCGCCTTGAAAAGCCTGCACTAGAATTCAAGCCCACAGACGCTGACTCAGCATACTGTGTTCTACCTCTGAATGTTGGTAAGGACCCGACTCGAAAGAAGGAACATTTGGCTTGGCAGCTGCCTTTGTACATAATACAGAAGCCTCTTACCGTGGTAACTGTGTGTTAGACACGTGAATAGAGAGCTTACGTCAGAGTCTTTTCCTATTGATATTTTAACAAGCTAACAGTTTTTTTCTTCCCGAAGTGAATGACTCCAGCACTCTGGACATTGACTTTAAATTCATGGAAGATATTGAGAAATCAGAAGCTCGCATAGGCATCCCCAGTACAAAGTACTCAAAAGAAACACCCTTTGTTTTTAAATTGGAAGATTACCAGGACGCAGTTATCATCCCAAGGTGAGCGGTTGGCGGAGATGAGAGGGCTGGCGGGGCGTTGTTTCGGGTGAGTCACTTGTTCGCAGGGGAGAGTGAGTGCGCTGTGGTTTGGCATTGCTGTTTCCCTTCATGGTGGACTTGTTTTCTCCAGTTTATGTCCTTATAAAACAAAACCTAAATCCTGTCGTTGAAGATCAGGTCATCTAATGGTGTTGACAGGCTTTCTTCCTAAAACCACCCTCCTTTTAATCCCCAAAGTCTTCGAGAATTTGATCATAAATAATATTTCGCTTAACATTTTTATAAGGAATAATGTTATTAAGTTCGAAGGAACTAGTAAATCTGAATTTTTCTTATTTTGTACAAATGTAGGGAATGGAGATTTTAGGCACTTTCAGAGTTTGAGCGCTGGCTCTGATGCTTTTCGCCTAATTTTTTTCTTTGTGTGCCTCAAAGCCATAGTTAGTGTTAGCTGTCATCCAACTAGCAGCATTAGTAACGGTGTAGTAGTCCACCTCCGTGGCCGTGTGTCACAGTCGCGTTAGTAATGTACAAGTGTCTGCTCTGCTTGGGTATTGGAAGTTTTCTGTGCTGTTTAGATCGATGGAACTAAGAGTTACTTAATGATGCCCTTTAGCTTCCATGTGTTATGGAGGCATAGATACTAAGAAAGAAGGGGAGAATGGTCAGGTAGGTTTTGCTTGATATAAATGGAGTGCTTTTTTTCAAATCCACTTGAAATATATAATTTGGAATTAAAGTTTTCATTAATGTTATTTATTTTTAACCTTTTGAACTCTTACTTTAACAATCGTGTTTCCATTTCCATATTAAAAACAGTGAGTTGTGTTTTGAGAACAGTTGATTTAAACTACAAGTCATTATTTATTTATTTATTTTTAGGTATAGAAATTTTGATCAACCTCATCGGTTTTATGTTGCTGATGTGTACACTGACCTTACCCCACTGAGCAAATTTCCTTCCCCCGAGTATGAAACTTTTGCAGAATATTATAAAACCAAGTACAACCTTGACCTGACCAATCTCAACCAGCCACTGCTGGATGTGGACCACACATCCTCGAGGTAAGCCTGCCCCGGAGGCGCTTTTCCAGCTCGCAGTAGGCACATGCAGAGGTTCACGGTACACTGCCCCCTTGGACTCTGAAAGCAGATGCTGTGCACACAGATTGCCCAGGGTGTGGTCCAGGGTCCGTGGTGGCAATGAGCTCTTCAGGTGGGCAGGCGGCATTGGAGTAGGAGTGGCACTGGGAGAGCGGACTTGGTCTGTTTGATAAAATGGTTTTGCCGGTTTTGCAGACTTAATCTGTTGACACCTCGCCATTTGAATCAGAAAGGGAAAGCCCTTCCTCTAAGCAGTGCTGAAAAGAGGAAAGCCAAATGGGAAAGTCTGCAGAATAAACAGGTAATGTTATGAGCATCACTTAATAAAGATAAGTTTGAATTTTATATTATCAAGTGAACTAAGTGACTTGTAAACATTTTGGAAATTGCCCAACCCTTAGGTTTTGTTTTGGTTTAACTGATGTTATGTGTTGACTTTTGAGTGTTTTTTTGGTAAGTATGAGCAGTTTAACTTTTACCTTTGATCCATTGGTACAATTATACATGAATCATCCTTATAAATTCTAGGATAAATCCCATTTGCCCTCAAGGATTATTTGAAAAAAATTTTTTTTTCAATATATCAATTACAGCTGACATTAGTTTCAGGTGTACAGCATAGTGGTTAGACAGTATATAACTTTACCACATAATCCCTTCCGTAAGTCCTACACCTCCCTGACACCATACATAGTTATTACAGTATTATTGACTGTATTCCCTCTGCTGTACTTTCCATCCCTGTGACTGTTTTGTAACCACCAATTTGTACTTCCTAGTCCCTTCACCTTTTCACCCAGCCCCTCCCCCTCCTCACCTAACAGCCATCGGTTTGGCTTATATATTTGGTCCATTGACACAATGATACCATGAAGTCATCCTTATAAATCCTAGGATAAACCCCATGTGGCCTTCAAGGATTTGTATGAAAATATTTTCAAAAATAAGATATTGCTAGTACTTACGATTTTTGTCCTTATCCAGTAGTGAAAGTGATCTTAGCTTTGTTTTCCATTCTTCTGTGTGTTTGCTTTATATTAATGTTTTCACATTTCTTCGTATTCAAAGATACTGGTTCCCGAACTCTGTGCTATCCATCCGATCCCAGCCTCGCTGTGGCGGAAAGCCGTCTGTCTCCCCAGCGTTCTGTACCGCCTTCACTGCCTTCTGACGGCCGAGGAGCTCCGAGCCCAGACAGCCAGCGATGCCGGCGTGGGAGTCAGATCCCTTCCTGTGGATTTTAGGTAGGCCTGTTTACAAAAGAACTGAATTAAGTTTGAACTTTAACTTTATCTAAAATGGTTCTTAAAAGACTAAAAGAACAAGGATGCCTAATAGGTGTCATAAATGCATCCTTTGATTCCTAAGTGAAAAATCTACATATTGAGTCCTGTGTTCCTGTGATGTTATAGAGGGAGGTGAGATACTAGGATCAAAAATAGTCACCCCCTCCCTCAGTGATGGGAGCTGAAATGAAAACAGTCCTTGTAACCATGCTTGACATTCGAAGCCTGCTTCCTCTTACAAATCGGATTTATATTGAAAAGCAGTGCCTTGGTATCTTTGTCTTCATTATGTTCTCCCCACATTATTTCCCCACTAGTAAAGTCTCTGCACTCTCTGGGAATTATTGGTTTAACATCTCAGGTTAATTTTGATTATCCAGTTGGCAAGACCACGTGGTTCTGGAGAGTGAGGGACTTTAAAATGGAATGGCAGGAACTGTTGTTCGCTCCTCTTCCACGTTGTTAGCTTAGGCGCAGAGAGGTTATGTGAATTGCCCAAAGTTTCCCAGCTCGTGAGCCGGAGGACTGACCCAGGCTTCAGCGCCTGGCAACCACACTTACTGGCGGGATGGAAGCAGCGCATGCACCTGTCCGCTCCACAGTGCAGTGCAGGCTTCTTCCTTGGAAACTGGTTTCTCCTCTCAAGTAGGAGCACAAATACAGGGATCTCTGTTTCATAGGCAGATGACTCTTGCTCTAGGCCTAGCCCTTTTGAAGGATCTGATGAAAAGTTATAAAAATGTCTTTGCAGATACCCTAACTTAGACTTTGGGTGGAAAAAATCTATCGACAGCAAATCTTTCATCTCAATTGCTAACTCCTCTTCAGCTGAAAATGATCATTACTGTAAGCACAGCACAATTGTCCCTGAACATGCTGCACATCAAGGTGCTAGTAGAACCTCCTCTCTAGAGAATCATGACCAAATGTCTGTGACCTGCAGAGCGTTACTCAGTGAGTCACCTGGGAAGCTCCCCATTGACGTGCCCACAGACCTCACAGCAATTAACGGTCTTTCTTACAATAGAAATCTTGCCAATGGCAGTTATGATTTAGCTAACAGAGACTTTTGCCAAGGAAATCAGCTGAATTACTACAAGCAGGAAATACCTGTACAACCAACTACCTCATATCCCATTCAGAATTTATACAATTGTGAGAACCAGCCCACGCCCAGCGATGAATGTACTCTACTGAGTAATAAATACCTTGATGGAAATGCTAACAAATCTACCTCAGATGGCAGTCCCGCGGGGGCCACGGTGCCTGGTCCCACAGAAGCTGTTGCCGTGCGCAAGGACAGGCTGGGCTCTGCGCAGAGCCCCTCTCCTGGCTACTCCTCCAGGACTCTGGGCCCAAACCCTGGACTCATTCTTCAGGCTTTGACCCTTTCGAATGCCAGCGATGGGTTCAACCTGGAGCGGCTCGAGATGCTGGGGGACTCCTTCCTAAAGCACGCCATCACCACGTATCTATTTTGCACTTACCCTGATGCGCACGAGGGCCGCCTTTCATACATGAGAAGCAAAAAGGTAAGAGGTCCTCCTTTTACTTTGAGAGTTAGAACAATTATTCGTTGTGCCCCCGGATTGGTTGCAAGTATTGGGTAGTTTCAGGGGAGAAGGAAAGTATTAACCTCAGGGACCCCACACCCGCCATGTGCCGCTAAAGCCGGTGGCATACGTGCCCAGGAGTTGACACAGATCTGCTTGTCACCGATGAAGCACTCAGGTTTGGGGGCTGCTGATCTGATGTGACCGACTTACTGATAGACATTCAGTTCAGATGCAGCTGTCTGAGAGCTCGCGCCCTACTTAATGGAGGTGAACGAAGTGTTTACTTGGGAGGGCGCTGTCTCGGTGGATAAGACATAGCTTCCACGGGCCGCTCGTCTCCGAGGCGTAGGGTGCTGGGGAAGGGAAAGAGCAGCACTTCTCCCAGCTCAGTGACCCCGCGGAAGGAGATTGAGCCTCGGGCTCTGAGTGAGCAGTGCCTGATAAGACAAAGGGAGGGCCTGTTCTTAAATTTAGTGTGGAGTCAAGATTTAAGGAAGAAAAGTAGTGAAGGTAAAATCTTTAATGATGATGAAAAGAGGTGTCACAAGTCAGCGTGTGCCTGTTTGGCAGATAACTTAGCTGCCGGTTAGCCTGAGCACTCAGCGAGGAGTTACCACTCATGGTCAGAGGAGGTGTTCACGGAAGAGGTGTGTTCACAGTGCGACCGTGAAATGGACAAATGGCAGAGCCTGTCGGCTCTCTGAGTCAGCGGCGGCCACGGTCAGAAGTGTGGAAATTCCTGAGAAAAGACCTGAAAAGGTGGTGGGTTGAAGCCGTACTCCTCAGTGAGGGAATCTGCACTTTGAATGTGTAGGTCACTGTGGAATGTTGAAGGCACTTTTTGCATGAGGGACTATGAATATCAATAAAGTGGTGGTTTTAAATGATGGATCTGGTAGCAGCATGCAGCGTGAGTTGAAAAGCAAGACCAAACCAAGCTGAGCAGTCCGTTGGCTTTGAAGGTCTGAGCGTGAGCAGACACGGATGTCTGGGGGAGTGATATTTCAGAGGCAATGATGTTGGCCGACACGAAGTGCTTCCTCTGCCAGACCTGCTGTCTTCCATCTTGTCGATGAGGGTGCTGGAGCAGCAGAGGCGAACTGCCTGAGCTCATGGCAAATAGATGGCAGCCCAGTCTGGCTATAAGAGACCTCGCTCTTCACCATTGCACCGACCTGCCCTTGATATTGCCCTGTAACACCAGGCACTAGACTGGGTATCTTACAGCCCTTCTCCTGTAATCTTTTCAATGAGCCCCTGGCAGGTGGATAACGTCTCCATTTTGCAGATGAGAAAACTGCTTAGAGAGTTTAGCTCATGTAGGTCATCTAGCTAGTCCGGGGTAGTCGGGTGTTCATCCGAGGCTGGAGCCCATGCCTTTCACCATCGCCTCTGCTGCATCCCAGCACGGTAGGGAGGATGTAGCGATGGCAACCACACACACACACGCACACACAGAGGTTGGGGCGATAATGATGCAGGTTGTGAGGTAGACAGAAATGTAGGAATCAGGGTTCAGGTTGGGTGTTTAGATCTCATGAAATATGAAGTGGGATGTTCAGATAATTGAGAATTTAGGACTAAGATACGGTTTGGGGAATAAGCTTTATACGAGTGAGATTTCCCAGGGGTGGTTGGGAATCAGAGGCTAAGAATGACTACCCTGTTAAGTAAGAAAGACATGATTTTATATTTCGAAAATTCATCCATTCATCTGCTCAGAGAGCTTTGACTCCTCTTTCCTGTGGAAGTTTTCCCTCCCTTTGCCTGGGGTAAGACCTTTCAGGGTGCTCAGCCCCAGATAGGCCTGTCTCCTAGCCAGGCCGACGCCCTTGTCTTCCCGTGGACCCCGGGCCCCGGGCACACAGCAGCTGGTGGCTTCTCGGAGCACTCACCCATTTCTCCTTGCTGAATCTGCTTGTCCCACCTTGAGCTCCATGAGTCCTTCCTTAGTTCTTCCTTCCTTAGTTCTCTCCTGCCAACTGTTTCCGTCGACTTTGTGATTCCTATCCTCTCATTGGCATCTGGGATGCTGTGTCCTCATAGTATGGAGAAGGAACTAGCATTTATTTGAGCTGTTACATTTCAGGCAGCCTGGGAAGGCCCTTCAGCAAGTGCTGGGGTCGGTGGACGCCTCTCCCTCCGAGCTGTTCTGTGCAGGCCCGCTCCTGCTGGCATTGTTCTCCCAGGGACGCTGCCCTGGCGCCTCTCTCGCTGGGTGCTGGTCCCATGGCATTGCTGGGTGCTGGTCCCGTGGCATTGCTGGGTGCTGGTCCCATGGCATTGCGTTACGTGGAAGAAGGGCTCATGAAGGACTTAAATAAAAAGAAACCCAGTATTTAGAAAACGGAAATGAGGTGACAGTTCTAGACACTAGTTTCCAAGTAAAAATGAGACAGAAATGCAGTAATTTGAGGAGATGGAAGCCTCAGGGAAAACAGAAATGAGGGTTTTATTGATGCAAATAAACAAGGGAGTTGTTCTTTATTGCCTTTTGCTCGACTTTAAAATGATTGAACAATACTATCTTGAAATACCATTCAAAACAAAGGAGTGATGTTGGAGAAAACATTACATTTGAAATTATTTGTGGCGTGGGCTCTCACATTGTAAAGTAATTTGAGCTCTGTTCAGTGCCAGATTCACTTTACTTCATCGAGAATATTGTGACCTCTTGGACTTATGTGGATTCTTTTTCAAAAATTTCAAAATTAGCATTTTGTATTTTATATCATCATTTTATATCAACCTGCTTTCTACAGGTTGAAATTGAACTATTTCTTCTGACTTAAGGAATTTGCATGTATATGTCAGTTTTTTCGGATCTGCATTTAAAACTCAAATACTCATCTAACTACACTAAAGGATATAGGACTCAATATTTTCCGTCAGTCTTTATAATTGATGAGCAGTTACAATGATTTAGGTACAAATATGTTCACATGCCTCCTGTGAGTTACAGCGGAGATGGTGCATAGTAAGTGTGTTGTGAACTTTTTCTGCCGAAGGTCAGCAACTGCAATCTGTATCGGCTTGGGAAGAAGAAGGGGCTGCCCAGCCGCATGGTGGTGTCCATATTCGACCCCCCTGTGAACTGGCTTCCTCCTGGTTATGTAGTCAATCAAGACAAAAGCAGCACAGATAAATGGGAGAAGGATGAACTGGTAAGTTTGTGGTAACGGGAGGATTCCTTTTTTGGTGAGGGGAGAAATTTGTTCTATTAATTCTTTGTTTTTTTCCCCCTGGTATGTTTATAATAGAGTATATATTTGATATATTGATTTAATATCTCTAGAAATAGACTGTCTTTTCATTGGATTTAGAAACAATGTTGCAATTTTGAAAGAAGACACTTTCTTTTCCTTTGTGCAAGTTAGAAGATTATCTAATTTAGTGTTCAAAAGAAGAAAAATAAAACATTTTTTATATAACATTTCACCTTACTGTTAGGTGTTATAGTTTATCATAGATCCCTACTTAGCTCTGTTCAGTTAAATGACTTTTCAGTGACCTGTGATCTCTAGTCTGTGGAATAATACAATTTCAATAAGATCTTGCTTTTGCAGCTCAGGGTTTTTGCAGGACTGTTTCTTCTTTTGTGACCTAAAAATAATAAGTAAATCGCCATACGTAAAGGTTGTAGGTTTCTGGCAATAGTTTAAATGTTGCCTGGTTTCAGAAGATGCCCTTGCTTCCTGGTATCTTGTCTTGAAGGCCAGCAGAGGGCACCTGGGAGGGCCTGGGCGCTGAGCTGGTGGGGCAGCCCAGCCAGCATTGGCTGGGAACTCCAGCGCCTCTGCCAGGGGAGCGGCGCGCAGGCGGCCCAGCTCTCAGCGACTCTCCCTCGGTGAGCCGCTCGCTGTGGCTTCCCTTTTACTTCCGCGACGGCGAGCAGGCGTTTCTTCCCAGCCTGCGCGTCCGGCTGTGTGTGTCGCCTTCTTTCTGACATGCAGGTCCCAGCTGTCTGTCTTAAGTGTTTCTGGGTCACACACTCGGTGACTCTGTCTGGATTTTACCTCTGTATTGAGTATATTTTTAAGTCATGCAGTTTTTGACTTATAGATAGTAAACTTATGTGGGAAAACATGAGGAGAATATTTTGATAAGAATTGGGTTAGAAAAAGTACATGTTATTAATTTAGAGATAGGTAGAACCTTAGGAGGAAATGTGTAGACTCTGAGAACTTTAGAGAAAATAATACATTTTTACAAAAATTATTCTGGCAACAATTATCCTGCTTTGTAAATACTGTTTTATAATATAATTGACTTTTTAAAAAAAACAACCCACGAATATAGAAGAATAAAGTTGATGTAGGCATGTCCTTTTGATTAAAAAAAAGTTGTGTTTTTGTTTTTAAGATCTAGCACACAGTTCCTTTTCTTGACATTGCAGAAGAACTGGCACTTTGGTTCCTGGAAAACATTAAAAATACTGTTCCTACTTTCACTGAGTAGTTTATACAATGAAATAGGCCCTTACATGCTATTGCAAAGCATTGGCTCGTTGCATTCCTGTTGTCACTGCCCTGCCCCTCAGCAACTAGGTGTAAGTGAAATCACGCGGGGCAGTCGCTAGGTAGTAAGCGCACGGGGACTGTGGAGGAGAGTTGCATGCTGGGCTTTTATTTTTAAAGAGCTTGAAGTGCTCTTGGGAACCACTTAGTGAGGTAGAATCCCACTGTTCTGCAGGGAAACTGAAACCCTGAGACTTGAAGAACTTCGCCCAAGGTCATACAGCTTCTTTGTGATAAAGCCCAGTCCTTTGTTTTGTTTCTTGCTTTTCTGCACTCCACTGATTTTAGCTTATGTTAGCATCTCTATAAAAATATATGTGGATGTTTTTAATTAAAAATTATTCAGTCTCATTTTTTTTAATTGTAATTTGGCCCTTTCTTCTAAGGACCAAACAATTAGTAAAAAAAAAAAAAATCTCGTGTTACCAGGAAAGTATAGGATTTTTAACAGGGAGTAGTTCCTCGAGGTCTGCCATTGTAGTTTCTTTTAGTTCCTTATTCTTGAAAAAGTTTTATAAACTTTTTTTATTTAAAAAAATATACATAGTTAAAGGTATATGGCTTGGCTCACTGCTCTTATTTCTTTTCAAACAATTACAGTTTGTATCTCTTTTGAGTCTGGCTTAAAATGAAAATATTTGCAGCATTTAAAAAGCGCTTGACAGAAAGTTTGAAAACCTTTCAGAACACTCTGGAAAGTTGTCACTCTCAAAAGTGAAGCACAGCCTGCTGCCTCTCCCCCCAGAGTCAAGTCTTGATGTGTGTGGTTTTTCTTGTTTGTGTTTTTTTTATTTTTATTTTATTACTCAACAGAAATTTGGCATCTTCCTAGCATTGCAAAAAAGTTACGTCATTACTGAATCCTAGCCCATTATTAAGGTTGTCATTCACAAATAAGCTGTTGCCAAAGAAATTGGAATTAGCAAAGATCCTCTGACAGAAATTGGATTGTTGTGTTTCATGTTAGTCTAAATTTTCTTCTATTTTTGTCAGTTACGCTATAATCAGTTACCCTGATTATTGTAGCTCAGTGGAGGGGAAAAGCATAATTTCTCAAATTCATAGCTTAGGTCAGGGATCACTTTTAGTTTTCAAAGTAAAGCAATTTAGTTTAACATTGTAGCAAATGTACTTTGATTTGAAGTAGAAATAGGGACAGACACTCTATCATGAAACTTGCACATTTTTAATGTTACAAAGATTTAAGAAATAATTCTGTTTCATATTATACTCTTAATTGCAAAGATAATGCTTTTTTTGCATTTGGAATTTAATTTTATTAATTTGAAAATCTTTTAGAACTTTTTCAGCAAAATTGAAGATCTCTGTGGTTGGCATATGAGTACTTTCATTGTGTATTCTGCCGGAGTTAGAGTTCTCAGCTGAATTTTGCCTTGTGGCCATTAACTTTAACTTCATATTCCATGTATAAAATCATCAGCTTAAAGCTTCGGACTGGATAAAGGTCATTTTATAACTCAGAAAATGAACATTCAAAGAACATGTTTTACTTTGTTTATATGATTAAATAACTTATTTTATGTTAATTGAAAACAAATGGCTGTGATTTTAAAGTTGCCTTTTAGTATTTGTGGTTGTCATTTGAAATTATCCATAACCCTTGCTTTTATTGAGTCTCCAACCCTTTTAAAACCAGCAGCTATGTCTCCCTCCTGCCCCATTCCCCTCGTTGCAGACAAAGGACTGCATGTTGGCTAATGGCAAACTGGATGATGACTTTGACGAGGACGAGGAGGAGGGCCTGCTGTGGAGGGCCCCCAAGGAGGACGCCGACGACGAGGACGACTTCCTGGAGTACGACCAGGAGCACATCCAGTTCATAGACAACATGCTGATGGGATCGGGAGCTTTTGTGAAGAAAATCCCTCTCTCTCCCTTTTCAGCCGCCGACTCAGCATATGAGTGGAAAATGCCCAAAAAAGCCTCCTTAGGTAGCATGCCATTTTCAGCAGACTTCGAGGACTTTGACTATAGCTCTTGGGATGCAATGTGCTATCTGGATCCTAGCAAAGCTGTGGAGGAGGATGACTTTGTGGTGGGGTTCTGGAACCCATCAGAGGAAAACTGTGGTATTGACACAGGGAAACAGTCCATTTCTTATGACCTGCACACGGAGCAGTGCATTGCTGACAAAAGCATAGCTGACTGCGTGGAAGCCCTGCTGGGCTGCTATTTAACCAGCTGTGGCGAGAGGGCGGCTCAGCTTTTCCTCTGTTCGCTGGGGCTGAAGGTGCTCCCTGTAATTAAAAGGACTGAGCGCGAGAAGGCCATGTGCCCTGCCCGGGAGAATTGCAGCAGCCAACAAAGGAGCCTTTCAGGGAGCCGGGCGGCGGCCTCGGCCTCGGCCAGCTCCCGCTCCGCCGCGGGGAAGGACGTGGAGTACGGCTGCCTGAAGATCCCGCCCCGGTGCATGTTCGACCATCCGGACGCGGATAAGACCCTGACGCACCTCATATCGGGTTTTGAGAATTTTGAAGAGAAAATCAACTACAGATTCAAGAACAAGGCTTACCTTCTGCAGGCGTTTACCCACGCCTCCTACCACTACAACACTATTACCGGTAAGGCGCCCAGGCCCCGCCGCACTTCTCTGAAAGTGCGACCACGTGTCAATCGCATTATTTTGGCCTCATAAAGAAATGATCTATGCGTGTTCAGACTTAGTGCTTAACACGAGAGGTGGGGGAGGAAGCCACGGCCAGCGAGAAAGCCTGGCCTCCTCTCTGGGAGCATGCGCTGCTCTTTGGGAGGAGGGAGGTGGCTCTCCGTCCCCGCTCAAACATGTCATCTCACGTGCTGCGGGATCCCGGGGAGCGGCCGCATCGTGGTGTGTCTTTCCTGTCTCAGCCCGCTCAGGGGCTCTCTGCCGCTCAGGGCTGCTCTGGGTTCCTGATTTATGTGTGTGTTCTGGATGTACTTCCACATCCTTTTATCATAAGTCTAAAGATGAATAGATGATAAGAAACTGCTTCACAGAGGTTTCATGCCCTTGCTCTGACCGCTGTCATCTTCTCTGCACTGTGCTCCCTGCTTCTTCCCGTCTGTATGTAACAGGCTCCCAGCCCGTTGCCTTAGAACAGCGTCGCCAACCTTTCAGACCTCACGGACCACCACCGGTTGGCGACCGCTGCCTTAGAAGGAAGAACAGGCAGCTAACAGCTAACACCGCGTCAGCCTGTGCAACACAGCTCAAGTCCATGTGTTTTTCTGTCTCACAGTAACAAGTGCTTGAGTCCAGAATACCAAAGCCAAGCAGAAAGTTTGTGTAAGGAAAAGAATGTAGATTAAGATGGTCTGAGGAATGTGAAGCCAAAAAGCGAAAAGGCATCTGACTCCATTCTAGAAAGATTGGTGAAACGAAAACCTGTTTTTCTTGGAGAGTGTAAGGAGGCCTGGTTTTCTACCGCCCAGTCCTGGGTGAGGTCTGGGCTGTAGCCTGTCTCAGCCCCTCCCTGGGGGGCGGCTGGGCAGATCATTTCATCTGTCCCTGCCTCAGTTTCCCAGGTGAATGGACTCTTTACTAACAGAGAAAGATGAGGTGCTGGTTAATATTGATAACTTTTCACATTTTGACAACTGCTTTTGCTCAAGGTCTTGGCTCACTTCACAACTTTTATTTCTCAATCTCTTGGTTTGTGTAAAATTCATATTTTTTATTAATCTTTTTTTTTTTTTTTTTAGAGGGAGAGGAAGGGAGGGTGGGGAGGGAGAGAGGGAGAGAGAAACATCGATGTGAGAGTGAAACATCGATTAGCTGCCTCCTGCACTCCTTCTAGAGATCAAGTCCGAAAACCTGGGCATATGCCTGACCGGAGTCAAACCGGCAGCCTTCCCATGCACAGGACGACGCCCCTCCAACTGAGCCACACCAGCCAGGGCTCAATTTCACCATTTCTAATCCAAGTTGAGAAGAGGGTCTCCTTATACTAACTGTTATCTGTGAAACAGATGTAACCCAGAAATGGCGAGGCGTGGTGCCACTTAAATACATTCACGTGTGAGTGAGTGGTGTGCAGTGATGAGACCTCAGTGGAGGCGGACGCGCAGGGTTGGGCTCAGTAAGGGATGTGTGGTGGGGATTTTAGGACGGTGCCCAGCACCTGCCTGCCCAGCTCGGTGCCAGGGGAAAGGGCTCAGTGATAAGGATGTCTCCTGGGAAAGGTTTTCCTAACAAGACATTTGTCTTCGGGCCACCTAGAGATTTTCTGACCACAACGTATATATAAGAAATGTGCTTAATTTGCCATTAAAATGTAATTGCCCGAGGCTTCAGCAAGTGAGACGTCAAGTGATTTTGTCCTTGAAGAGTGTGTATGAAATGAACCCAGAAAAAAGTCTCTGCTATGGCTCTCGGGCAGGCCTCTCGCCAGCCATTCTGCAGAAACCGGGCCAGGGCGTTGCCCAGGCTCATGGCTCCCCTTTGGCTCCTCCCTCAGATTGTTACCAGCGCCTGGAATTCCTGGGAGACGCGATCTTGGACTACCTCATAACCAAGCACCTTTACGAAGACCCGCGGCAGCACTCCCCGGGCGTCCTGACGGACCTGCGCTCCGCCCTGGTCAACAACACCATCTTCGCGTCCTTGGCCGTGAAGTACGACTACCACAAGTACTTCAAAGCCGTGTCCCCAGAGCTCTTCCAGGTCATTGACGTCTTTGTGCAGTTCCAGCTCGAGAAGAACGAAATGCAGGGGATGGATTCCGAGGTCAGTGCTGCTGAGCGTGTGAGTCAGAGGTGGAGCCGCTGGCCAGGGCTCTGGGGAGTTAGGGCTCTGGCTCACAGCTGTGCAGAGGGACGGCTGAAGCCAGGCTGTGGCGCCCGCACCGTGCGATCCTGGGGAGAGCTGAGGTGGGCCGGAGTTTTCGGGGGGCCTTGTAGGAATGGAGGCATGTGGCCATTCACAGGGAGAGGGAGCCCATCGAGGTCCAGTGTGGCACCCTTCCCCACCGATTCAGGCTCCCGAGAGGTGTGGCGCCACCCCCTGGCCACCCCCGAGGTGGCCTAACCCAGTGGCCTCCTCAGGGCTTCTGCCTGCCTTGCTCTTCAGCATGGGTCGGGAATATTTGCTCATGTCTCAGGTAAGCAGCACAAACACGTATTCTGCTTCTACTGGAAATGGAAAACCTCAGTTAAAAACCAAACTTCTGCATTTCTAACCGTTGGAATTTGAGAGGCTTCTCCGTAAGTTCAGCCAGAGGTTCGTTGGTGATGGAGCTGTTTCTGATGTTGGTGACTCCTCTGCAGCTTTGTCGGCAAGGCTGTTGCTTAGGTGCTCCCAGCCCGGAGTGCTTGCCGCCCCTCCTCTGCGTCCCCTGTGCCCAGGAGGCCGCTCCGTCCCTCCTCCTCCCCATGCTGACTCCTTGGCTTTTCTTACTTTTGTAGATTTTTTATAAGGAGTTAAGGAACTTATTCATAAATTCCTCTGATAGCTGTTGTCATTGTTCTTTTTTGATTGGTTCCTTTTTAAATTTCAAACCGTTGTTGGGGCTTTCATGCATTCCCTTAACTTCCTTGGAAGCGAAGGCTCTCGTCCAGACCAGCCGCCGGCAGGCAGGCAGGCAGGCAGGCTGGCTCTGTGCAGGCGGCCGGCGCTGCCTCGGGCAGTGTGAGTGAGAGCGAGTGGTCGCAGGAGACTAGCACGTCTCGCAGTCAGCATCACTTCTGGTCTCATCCTCCCAAACACTGCAAGCTTAGAATGAGAGATTTGCCGACATCTAAATGCTCTTTTACACGACAAGGGGACATTCTGTAATCTGTGTTCATTCTTTTTCCCTCTCCATTGTTTACGTAAATATGTATGGAAGTTACAAAAACTAATTGGAAATGTCATGGTCTGGCTTTTTAAATTTACTATTTGTTCTTTAGAATTCTCTCCACTTTTCTGGGCCTCAGTTTCCTCATCTGTAAAGGGAAAGAATTAAACTTCATATGTTTTAAAATTCCTTTCTCCCTCAAAACCATGATATATGAACAATAACTGTCTTATTTTTCCAGTAGTCAGTATTATAATTTGTATATAGAACTTTGTTTCACTAAAAACTGTTTAGAAATTACTGTCCCCTCCTTTTAATTTCTTTCACAAGTAGTTTGTTTATTTTAGAAAGCAGATGCAAACATGCATATAAGAGGGGTGATGTTATGCGTGACTTCCCACACTCTCTTCTTGTCCCCGAGTGTGTGGTGGTGACTGTCAGTAGCTGCGTGCTGGTCAGGGCACGGCTGTCGGGGAGCGCATTTAGTTGTCCTTGCAGCTGGTATTTAAGCTGCTTTCAGTTAGGAGGTGCTGGTCAGGGCACGGCTGTCGGGGAGCGAGCGCATTTAGTCGTCCTTGCAGCTGGTATTTAAGCTGCTTTCAGTTAGGACTTTTAATAACATGGATGTGATAAATATGCTTATATATCCAGTTACCTCCTTACGATAAGTTCCCAGAGGTGGAATTGCTGCGTCAAACAATTGTGAACCTTTAAAAGGCTTTTGATACACATGTAAGTTTTTATTCTGTGAAGTTGAATACCGGCTGCTTGTGAGGTACTCTTTTACAGCAAACATGTATTAAGTGTTTCATAAAAAGGAGCTTGGAGGAAAATATCTTCCAAATAGGGTTTCCCTGCCCAGAAAGGGGCAGTTTATGCCCTCAGCAGCGTGCGTCCTCCCTGCCTGTCCCACCAGCACTCCCCCTCCCTGCCCAGCCGCCGGGCAGCTCTGCGGAGGTGCAGTTCTTTGATGATGAGTGAATTTGAAAGTTTTTAAAATACATTTATTTATTGACTATTTCTAATTTTGTGTTAAAAATTTTGTTCTTATTGAAAGATAATCTTTTTTTCTTTGCTGGGTATAGACTATTAAAAGGGAGGGTTTTTTTTTTTTTTTTTTGAGAAATTTGAAAACACTTCATCTTTAGGTAAGTTACTGCTTGTGAAGAACCTAGTGCCACGTGGAGGCAGCCATGAACAGCTGGAATCGTTACCTTTGTTAGCGAAGGAATGAGAGTCCCAGCCGGGAAAGGAAGCTGCCTCTGCCCTGCCTTCCTGCCTCCTGCTTACAGTCCCTTTTCTCTCCCCAGCTCAGGCGGTCCGAGGAGGATGAGGAGAAGGAGGAGGACATTGAAGTCCCCAAGGCCATGGGGGATATTTTTGAGTCACTTGCTGGTGCCATTTACATGGACAGTGGGATGTCGCTGGAGATGGTTTGGCAGGTGTACTATCCTATGATGCGGCCACTCATAGGTACTGTGGCTCCCCTTCAAAAAAAGCAGAATCAAAATTCAAAGCAACTTCAAGGGTATTATTTACGTTATTCTTTCACTTTGATTATAGAAAAATTTTCTGCAAATGTGCCCCGTTCCCCTGTGCGAGAATTGCTTGAAATGGAACCAGAAACCGCCAAGTTTAGGTAAGCAAAGATGTGCATGGAAAAAATTAACTTACTTCAAATCCAGGGGGAAGTTCTCACAGATGCCGTAAATGAACGATTCCGAAAAATATTTACACGGGGGCACGCTCTCCGCAGTTTCCACTTGTAGTCTGATCGACTTCTCTGCTGTTTTATAAAGTGATGCTGAACTAAAGAAGCCACGGCAGCCCGCCTGCCGCTGTGCGTGAGCCGTCGTGCACGTTTCCCTGGTGTGGTGTCAGCCTGTGCGGGCTCCCGGCCGAGAGCTCACACTCAGAGCTGATTGACAGTCATAATAAATACTCCGACTTCTAATTCATGCTGTTTGGCCTCTTTACAGCCCGGCGGAGAGGACCTACGATGGCAAGGTCAGAGTCACCGTGGAGGTGGTGGGGAAGGGGAAGTTCAAAGGCGTGGGTCGCAGCTACAGGATCGCCAAGTCTGCAGCGGCAAGAAGAGCCCTCCGCAGCCTCAAAGCCAATCAACCTCAGGTTCCCAGCAGCTGAAGCCCCTTTTTAAAATTAAAAAACAAAAAAGCAGAATAAGGTAGAAAATACTTAGATTGAAAAGGATGATTTAAAGTTGATACTGAGCGGAATGAATAGAAGGCAGAATTTAAAGTTTGATAACAGGATAGATTACAGAATAAAACATTTAACATATGTATAAAAATTTTGGAACTAATTGTAGTTTTAGTTTTTTGCGCAAACACAATCTTGTCTTCTTTCCTCACTTCTGCTTTGTTTAAACCACAAGAGTGCTTTAATGATGACATTTAGCAAGCGTTCAGAACAATTACTGATGGTTTGTTTTGTTTTTAGTATAATTTCCTCACCTTTGCTTAGTGTTAGGAGCCAGGGAGCTGAAAACTCACACAGTCCCTAGAGTGATGCTAAGAGTCCTCGTGCCCCCCGGTCTGTGCGGGATTGCCAGCCTGCACTGGGGAGCCCGAGAGGACGCTGCGAAGCGGGGAAGTGTGCCCGTGTCGCCTCGGTGCCCACGTTCTGCGTGAAGATGGTGTTCCCAGCGCTATTGCACTTAATTGTGAGGGACAGATGTCAATGGCATTGGCTGGCAAGCTGGTGAATCCAATGTTAGTTTTCTCGTGCCACGTATGACAAAGGTTCTTGCCTTAAACGTAATGTCCTCATGGATACTCTTTAATTTCTGATCTTTTTTGGAACAAACTGATCTTACATTCCCTGCATTTTATTGTGCATTAGATGTTGAGACTATGGGATTCACAGCCCACTAGTGTAGTTGTAACTTAAAACAGGAGATTTGGATTTCTGGCACGTGTATACTAAAGACATTTAAAAAACCAGAATCTGTAGACGGAATTTTTTAAAAAACACCATAATAAAAAGGATCTTTGGCTAACTACCCAGTTTTACTTAAAAAACCTCCTGCAAGGTAGTTCCACTGATAGAAATTGTTTGTGGCAAATAATTTTGCCCTATAGGCTGTTTCTCTAACAAAATTAACCTTAGACATATCACACCTTAAATATGCTGCAGATTTTATAATTCATTGGTCACTTATTTAAAGACAGGCCCAGCACCTTCCCCTTTCGCCTTCTCCCGTGAGTGTCTGCTGCACTGTCCACCATGCTGCGTGTACTTCACTACCAAAGCTGTGCTAGCTGTGGGAGTTTAAAGTGTGAGAAAACTGCCACGATTGTGATACGTCCATGATTTAGCTTGTTAATTTAGCTCAACTAGCTCATTATTTCTATCTTCAGAAAAGAAACAAAAAAAGACATTTTTAGGCATTTGCCTAAGTTTCTTTAATTAGACCTGTAGGCACTCTTCACTTAAATACCTCAGTTCTTCTTTTCTTCTGCATGCGTTTCCCCCTGTTTGGTGCTATGTTTATGTATTATGCTTGAAATTTTAATTTTTTTTGCACTGTACCTATAATACCTCTTAATTTACCTTTATAAAAGCTGTGGGCTGGTCTTGCACTCCCACCAACATACCAGTAGAGGTTTGCTGCAATTTGCCCCATTAATTATGCTTGAAGGTTAAGAAAGCTGAGCAGAGGTGTCTAATGTTCCCAGCACATCGTTCTGAACTTGATCTTCTTGCAGTGCTGCATTTCTGTTTAAATTGCAGTTGAATACTGTACCTCCCGCTGTCTGCACCCCTCCCCGAGCAGCGCTCTGCACGTGTCGCCCGAGGTTGCCGCTTCACTGGCTAGGAGGCCTCAGAGAGGGACGCCCGGCTCCCGACCTTACTTGTCCCCAATCTTACATTGGGATGGATCTAAATTATTAATTGTGTTCCTGAGCAAATTAATTTGGGTGGCCTCATTTTTAAAATACTGAATTCTGATTTGGAACCTTAGATTTCCGTTTTCGTTTTTTAAAAATCTTAGCAGAAGGTCTCATGGCAAGTTAAAACCAAGCAATTCTTGAATTACAGAACTGTAACCGCGTCCATGAGCAAGTAAGGCTGGGTGTGGATTTGACTTGTGATGAAGGCATATCACAGATCTCTGAACAACGCGCCGACGACCTGCTGCCAGGCGGAGGGCGGCGTTGTCTAGCGCACTCATCCCAGGGTCGCGGGCTCTGCCTCCTGGCACCGATGTCAGATTGTTCACAGTACAGTTCCCACTGGGAGAAAATGCCTCAATATATTTTGTAACCTTAAGAAGAGTATTTTTTGTTAATACTTTAAAAGTTCAGACTTGGATATGATTAGGTCATACATTCTCAGGGGTTCAAATTTCCTGCTACCATTCAAAATGTTTTATCAACAGCAAACTTGAGCTATTTCTGTTTTTGTTTGTTTTTTGCTGGAGAAAATTAGCTGATTTTAATTTGTGACTCCCACTTTGAAGCAGTCTCTGACCCCTGGTTGCTCTGTTATAAAGAAAAACTATGAGTTAGGCGAGTGAAATGGTTATGAACGCTCTGTGCTGCTGAATCTAATGCTGTAACGTTTCCCTGTTGAGCTTGTTGAAATGTTTCGAGTCTGTTAATTAGGAAAAAGATCACTCTGCATTGCCCGCCCGTCCCCCCTCCTCATTCCACCGTGTGTGCCATCCCTGCGTCCTGTGATGGCGACGGGAGGCGGGATGCAGTGTGAGCCTGTTGGTGCTGCGGGCGCTGGGGAGGCCTGCACGCCTGACCTGAAGCGCAGCTGACTGCACAGGCTCCCCAGGGTTGTGTGGAGGTCAGTTGGCTTGACCCTCATTGTAAACGTCTTTAACTTCTGTGTGTACCTTCAGCCGTCCTCACTACGCTGCGCTTGTCACCCACCCCCATGGAGCACAGAGCAGCATTGCACTTGGTACCATGCTTACCTCATTTCAAGGAAATATGCTTAACTGAGAGCAAAAAATGTGGTTTGGCCTCGCTGCTGTTTTGATTTACCGAATTTGAAAAAGATAATTCTAATGCCTGCAATGTGTCATGTATCCTTGCACAACTTCAATGGATCATTCTTGTCTGTGGCATTTTTACTGTTTGTGAAAGTATGACAAAGATTTGTTAACTGAACTCTTAATTATGTTTAAAAATGTTTGTTACTTTTTTCTTTTATATTATGTGATGTGATTAAATGTAGAATGACCTCTAACACTCCTGTAATTTTTATCTTTGAACATACTAATATTTTTATTTTCTTAATAATAGCTTGCCCTCAGAGAGATTCAAATTCCCCGGCCAAAATCGCAAGAGATGTAGGCTCCTTTGGTTCTGGTGGTTCAGTTCATGCACCGGCGCTCACCCCGAAGTCGGCCCTTCAGTGGGCGCCTGGAGCGGGTGGGGCTGCGGGCAGCAGAGGACTCTGGCCCAGACCCACCGCGTCCAGTCCCGGGCCAGGGGTTTACCTTGGCATCTCGCTCTGTGAGGGGATCTCATTCTCTCTCACAGAATGTGACCCGCGAGACGGAGACCTTGGTGTTTTTATTTAAGCGGCGTCTGGAATGACGTTGAGTCCTTAGCCAGCTTTGTCCTCTGCGGAAGGGCGCACGCTGCGTTTATCACCTGACGGTTATTTTAATTCCATTTCCATAGGTGTATTTTTTCAACCACTGATTACTTTTCAGGAATTTAATTATCTCCAGATGAATTCCTTTATTTTATATTGTACATGAAACGGTTTTAAGACACATTGAAGACCGAGCATATTAAAATGATCTTAAGAGTTGGAGACCCGAGGAGCGATGTTAGGGAGCTTGCATTAAGACTGTGTATTTTCCACCAGCAGTGAAAATGGTCTCGCGAAACTGACTTGTAAATATATTTTAATCATTAACTGCTTCTTTTTCAGTCCGTTTTTATTTGGACATCAACCAGACAGTTTAGATTTTGTAGATGTGCTCAGAATTCACTGCGGCAGCCGCTTGGTTACACAGCAAAACTGCGAAGGTGAACAAAAGTGACATTTCTGGCATTTCTCTTGTAACTAGAGTGCAGGAAAAGGACTAAAATCAAGTAATACTAACGTGTACTCTGATTGACAGTAAAGTCTTTACCACCACACACTGCAGCTGTTTGTGAGGAACGTGACGTCACTGTTCACACGTCGTCATCAGCAGAAGGCTGCCGTCTGCACTCATGGGCCGCAGTTACCTTCCGTCGTGTTTTTTTTTTTGTGTGTAATAATTGTAGCCGAGTAAACCTCCAATAAAGTTATGGTCTGTTCACTGCGTGGCCTTTTATCTTTTTCTTTTCTCAATTTGATCGGCTCAACTGGGCGATAACTCAAGTAGTTGCCGCAGAAATGGTCTTTAAACGTTTTAATTCCGTGGTCAGCTGAAAACGTGTGCTTCCATATGGTGACATCCTGTTTACCAGGCCCTGCTTGCCGTCTGCGGTAGCGTTCTGTAGGAACAACTCTCTTTTTCAAGACTCAGGTGACCCCAGGGTGTTTTCTGAAATGCTGCCCCAGTGACTGACGTGTCCCAGGCCCGGGGTTTCTGATGAAAGATCTGACACGTTCCCAAGGGGGACTGGCTCCTTCTGAAATCAGCTTCCAGCTTGTAGGCCCTTCCAAATGGTCGGTTAGGAAAGAACTTGACCGCTCCAGGCTCGGGCCCGCCTTCGCGCAGCCTCCGTAACTTGAGCATTAGTAGAGATGGCTTGGCTGTGGGAACAAGATGGTAAGTGTAAGTTCCTTAGCAAAAAGTTTTAGTTTTCCTTCGTAAGAGTTTAAATTAATCCCTTCCTTTCCCCTCCCTCCCGTCTCTAAAGGGGGAAAAGTATGTGCTTCAATCCTGAGGGATTTGGTTGAGCACTACGTGCCTGTGGGGGGGTGTTGCTGCCCACAGTCCACTGGATAGTTCAGGCCAGGCCTTGGCCACGGCCTTCCTGCCACCATGACCCTGTGTCCCGCGGCCAGCGACGGGCACACAGCCAGGCCAGGTGGACCAGGGTGCAGTCGTGATGTGCGTGAAAAGAACGCAGATGCAAGGGAAGGCTTTTGTTTCTGCAGCTGCACAGCGTGATGCGTGTTTGGAAGCGATGGTAGGTGCCCCTCGCTGGCTCAGCTGTGAGCGGGCCGTGATCCGCGAAGGCCCGGAGCTGGGGGTGCACCCGGTGGGTGTGCAGCACGCAAGGCTTCCCAGCCTGCGAGGCAGTGTGTAGGCCAGTGACGGCGAACCTTTTGAGCTCGGCGTGTCAGCATTTTGAAAAACCCTAACTTAACTCTGGTGCCGTGTCACATGTAGAAATTTTTTGATATTTGCAACCATAGTAAAACAAAGACTTATATTTTTGATATTTATTTTATATATTTAAATGCCATTTAAGAAAGAAATCAACCAAAAAAATGAGTTCGCGTGTCACCTCTGACACGCGTGTCAGAGGTTCGCCATCACTGGTGTAGGCCATGCTTCTGTCTCTTTTATTCTTCTCTTGTGGTAAAATGCACATGAAGCTTACCATTTCAGCCACTTGTAAGTATGTAGTTCAGGGCATTAAGTTCATTAACGTTGTTATGCGACCATTACCACCATCCATTTCCAGTACCTTTTCTTTATCCCAAACTGAAACGCTGTCACCATGAAACACTGACTCCCCGGGCCCCTCCCCCAGTCCCTGGCACCCACCCTCCACTCTGTCTCTGAATGTGACTCTTCTAGGTCCTTCATATCCTGGACTTGGACAGTGTATGTCTTTGGGTGTCTGGCTTTTTTATTTCACTTCGCATGTGTCTACAAGGCCCATGCATGTTGTAGCATGTCAGCGCTTCCTTTTCAAGGCCGAGGAGTATTCCCTTGTCGCCTCCAGTGGGGTGCCTTCCCCTTCGGCTGGAGCGAGCGGTGCTGCTGTGAGCACTGGGGTGCCCATGTCTGTGAACCCCTGCTTTCGCTGCTTCAGTGTCCGACCCAGAAGTGGAATGACTGGACCACAGGGTGATTCTGTGTTTAGTATTTTGAGAAACCGCCATGCTGCTTAACACAGTGGCTGTGCCATTTACATTTAAAAAAAAAATTTTTTTTATTGACTTCAGAGAGGGAGGGAGAAGGAGAGAGAGAGAAACATCAGTGATCAGAGAGAATCATTGATTGGCTGCCTCCTACATGCCCCCTACTGGGGATTGAGCCCGCAACCCAGGCATGTGCCCTTGGCCGGAATTGAACCCAGGACCCTTCAGTCTGCAGGCCAATGCTCTATTCCAGTGATTCCCAAAGTGGGCGCTACCGCCCCCTGGTGGGCGCTGCAGCGATCCAGGGGGGCGGTGATGGCCACAGGTGCATTTGGGGGCATATATCTTTCTGTTTAATTGCTATTAAAATTTTAAAAAAATTAATTTCCAGGGGGTGCTGAGTAATATTTTTTCTGGAAAGGGGGCGGTAGGCCAAATAAGTTTGGGAACCACTGCTCTATTCACTGAGCCAAGCCAGCTCGGGCCCATTTACATCCTCGCCAGCAGTGCACACGGGTTCCCGTGCACCACTTCCTCACCCGCGCGTTCTGATAATAGCTGTCCTGGTGGTGCGAGGTGGTCTGTTGTGGTTTGATTCGGAATTCCCCACTTAACGTGATGTTGAGTATTTTTTTTTCATGTGCTTGTTGGCCATTTACGTATCTGTGGAGAAATATCTATTCAAGTCCTTTGTCCATTTTTGAATTGAGTTTGTGTTTTTGGTGTTGAGTTCTAGGAGTTCTTTACATTCTGGATAGTAAACTCTTACTAAATTTTTCTCCCATTCTGTGAGTTGCCTTTTTACTCCCTTGAAAATTCTCTCGAAAACCTTTGAATTGCGAAGCACAGTGGCCCCGAGGGTCTCAGCTAAGGGCTCCTGGACCTACAGCAGCTCAGGTTACTGAGCATGTGCTGGGCGCCTGGTCCGTAAAAGCTTTACCCGATTACGCCACTTACTCCTCCCACGATGCCGGAGACGGCTCCTGTTGGAGGACGTAAAGCATAGAGATCGACATGAGAGCTGTGGTCGGGCCACCGGGCTTCCAGCGCTGTGGCTGGGCAAGTTATTGGATGCCTTGGCCCCACAGCCTGGCTGGCACAATGAGGAGCAGTCCTTCAGGTCAGGGCGAGTCCACGGAGAATGCAGGGTGCAGTGCCGCTCACATCATAAGCCTGTGATAAATGCGAATTGTTACTGTGATACCCATTTTACAGGTGGCAACAACGAGGCACAGAAGTGAAGTAACTTGAATGCAGAGTCATGGCTGAACCTTTGACCCATGTCTACCTAAATAAAACATGTTTAACCATCATTCAGTTATTCTCTAACTTCTGTGGATGGTTTGAGATGAAGGTGGAATGAAAATATGTGACTGCGTATACATATGCTACACGTTTCGTGTTGAGAAGAAAACCAGATGGTGACCAAAGGCCAGCGTAGGCAGCAGTCACAGGGTTTGTTTCTTTGTTTTGTATGTAACCCTAGAGCTCATTTTTTCAAATGAGGAAAGGTTCAGGTCTTAGAGAGCCCGTTAGAACCTGCTGTTGCCCTGTTACCCGACTCACATCAGCCTGAAAAACTAGGGACGGGCCCAGTGGCCATTGGAGGACTTGACATGAGGCCAGTCTTGTAAGAAAAGCCATTGGCTCCCCGTTCAATGAGAAGCAAGCGCTGGAACCTCTGTGCTTCCCACCTGTGCTGCATCCGGGCGGGGGGAGGGGGGGGTCTGGAGAAGGGCAAGCCCTCCCTCGGCGAAACCACTCTGCTGGGAGGTGCGTCATGACGGGACCGTGGTGAGGGGCTGGGCTTCAACGCCAGTGTGTCGCACACGCACACACAGCAGCATGGCCCTGGTGGGGGCGTCACCCTGCAACGTGAGGGGATGTTTCTGGTTCTAATCTAGGCCCAGTTTTTCTTGGTTGAGGGAGAGGGTGGTGGTTGGTGAACATGACTGAGAATCTCACTAGGAAGTTACTGGATGGAGACGGGTTACTAGAGTGCTGTTTTTAGCTTGGAAAGTTTTTTCTTTTTTAAGAATAATTTTTGATGAGTTGCATATCAGCCCGAATGTTCTCTGGGTTTTGGTTTGGGGGTTTTTGGTGTGTTTTTGCTTTTGCTTTGAACATTGCCTTTCATTTGTCGGGCTTCCCACCATCCTCACTTGAGTGAGAAGAGACGAGCAATGCCCAGGTCTGTTAAGTATGTGATGTGGCAGAAAGGGTTCCATGGTCTCTAAGTTTGGGCAACCATGGATTAAACGAAATGGAAGGGGTTCCTTGCAGAACTTCTGGGGTTCTTTATTATTTTGAACGCATGGGACCCTCAGAGGGGCTGCCTTCCCCCCTGATGAGACCAAAGACCTTGTGCTGCCAGCGCCCGGAGCCGCTCCCTGGAGACATCCCTGCCAAGCGCATCTGGGCACGGAGACCCGCGGTCTGATGGGGCCAGGAGCTCACCCGGCTGCTCTGGCTTATGTGTGAAGTTGACCCGCTGTCCCTGCAGCTGGTGCACAGGAAGGAAACCCCAAGGTTTTCTCATTACGGGGTCACAGGCTCCCATCCTGGTGGTGAGCCTAGGCCCTGTGTTCCTGGTGAAACTTGGCTTGCGGAATAGTCACAGCAAAGCAGTGGAAACGTGTGTGTCAGAAGGGCTCGGCCTGCACGTGACAGCCCCAGAGCCGGGCACAGCTGTGGAGTTGACCGCCCTCGGGGGTTGGGGGCGTGTCTTCCCAACAACCCAGCGTGCAGCTTGTGGGGAGGCCTTTAATTTTTATTTTTAAATATGTTTTTATTGATTTCAGAGAGAGGAAGGGAGAGAGAGATGGAACATCAATGATGAAGCATCGATCGGCTGCCTCCTGTACCCCCACCCCCCCACCCCACACTGGGGACCAAGCTCGCAACCCTGGCATGTGCCCTAACCGGGAACAAACCATCACTTCCCAGTTCATGGTTGATGGTCAACCACAGCCACACTGGCCGGGCAGGGAGGCCTTGCACTGTGCTGCCCGCTCTGCCTAAACTCCTGGCCTCTTCGGACACCTTCACTCGAGTGGCACTGCCCTTCCTACAGAGGCACCTGAGTGAGCTCCAAGCCCAGACGCCTCCTGCCCATACCCAGCCCAC